TCTGGTCTGCCATATACTGATGACGATATTACTGAATTATCTAAAGAACTTGATTTTAAAGAAAGGCAGATCCGCGTAAGTTTTTATTTTTAAAAATTATTTAATCAAAAATTTTCAGAGAATGATCAATGTAAGTACTACGCTGTAGAAGTTGTGAATAATTTTTTCTTTTACTTTTTCTGCTATTAAATAAGATAATTTGGTACTTTTCCGTTATATGTACAACCGCAAAATGAGTGATAGCCAACTTTGATAGGTTATAACCTTCAGATTCTTGATCCAATACACATGAATTATATATCATTCAAAAGCCCTCGATAAACAATATTATTTTTTGATAGGATATTTCAGGTCTGATAAGTCATCAAAAATTATAACCCGATAAGTGCAGTTATTTGGCATTTTCTCATTTATCGGGGTTTAACTTTAAACGAGGGATCAGACCTGATCCATCAAGTTGGAAAAAAGATAACGCTTATCGAGGGCTTTCGAAGGATATCAAATATATCGTATTGGATCGAGTATTAAATTTTATAACCGATCAAATTTGGCATACACTCAGTTTGCGGGCGTATAACGAAGAAGTTAAAGGAAAAATTTTTTAAGAGGTCTTAGAGTACTTTTTAATTTTGTTGGGAGCTTCATAAACTTTAGAACACCTAAATATAAGATGTTTAAATTTGATAAAACGACTTTTTCATTACTCCCTTTGAGTTAATTATATTGAGAGTTGACTCTAATTAATATTTGAATTTAAACAAAAGAACAAGAGAACTGAATACAAAGTAAATGGCATAAAATTCAAAATTATTAAAACAAATTTTAATAAAATAAAAAGCAAAAACCCAAAGGAAACTTCAGGTTTTATTATTTTACATAAAAGGTATACAACACAGTTGCGTCGTAATTACGAATTACGGCGTTTTTGAGTTACGAATTACAATTCCGAAATTTTTTTAAAAATTACGAATTACGATTACGAAAAATAATTTCGATTACGACGCAACTCTGGTATCCAATCGAAGCACTGCCGGGATAATTCACATCAGTTTATATTACCACCCATATGTTGCGTTTTGCGTAATTTATTTTGCAAATGCAAAACAATTATTTACTCATTTAATGAGTAAAGGTTCGAGCCTCATCCTTTTCCTTTCCCTCTCCGACTCTACTGGCCAGCTCCGGAACTAGCTCACGGAGCTATATCGAAAGTTGACTCTAATTAATATTTGACTGGTGAAGTCCAACTACATATAATAATTATTTTTAGTCAAAATGTTTGATGTTTATTTGAATGAAAGCCCATTAATTTTGAAAGGAGTAGAATTAAAAATAATTGAAGATAATTTTAACAGAGGAAAAAAAGTATTAATCGAAAATCATTTTCTCAAATACAAGTCAAATAAATTCTATATTGAAAAGAATATGCTAAATAAATTTATGGAAACGAAAAAACAAAAATACAGAAGATTAATAAATATTGAAATTGATTATTTGGAAGATATTAAATTATGTAAATTAACACATAAAATTGAAATTGAAGAAGAAGAGTTTATTAAAATGGTTGAAGAAGATGATGAAGATTTTGAAATTAAATTAATAGAAATTGAAAAAAATTAGTGATAAGAAATTGAGAATTATTTAATGAGTTAAATCCTGTTATAATTTAACATTAATTGTTAACTACCTATCCAAGTAAAGATAGTCAGACCTCAATTTTACACAAAACCATGGGACTGAAAATTTTTATTTTATGAGTTATTCCTAATTATGAGAATTAAGATGCACCTTAAATTTCAAATAATAGTCACCAAATATAAACAAAATGTATCGTAAATTGAGATATTATCTAGTATTGAATTTATCTCATGGTGAGGTCTGATTGTACTTATTTTTTTATAATTATTTTAAATTGTTTAAGTATTTAGTAAATGATAAAAATTTTATGTAAAAGTAATTTTTAATAATCGTGGTGTTTTATGATGAGATCCTAAGAGGAAAAAATTAAAAATTCCGAGTCGTTTCTTTTAATAATTATTGATTAAAACATAATATTTATATGCAGCTGGGATGTGCGCCAAAACTTTCGTGTGGTGCGCAAGAAGCCGAAACCAATTTTTTAAGAACTAAAATACACTAATACACTCCGTTCCAAAAGTATATAGCCACCCAATTTTTTTCTAAATCTCCAGGTAAATAAATTTTTAAATGGGTTATGATTAATTTGAAATATTTTTTAGACCCATTTTACGGATCTGATAATGTTATTTTATGCGTTATGAAACTATACGGATAGAAATTAGGGGATATTTGACTTTACCCAAAATTAAGGCGTTCCAAAAGTATATAGCCACACTTGTTTTATAGGGTTCTAATAATGGCAAAAATCTACAAAAATTTTTGTAGACATATCTATCAATATAGATAAGAAATACAAAAGAAATCAAGTTCTGATGTACTTCCATCATCGAGATATTGAAACCCAGAAATCAACGGAAAACCGATGTAGACGTCTTTAAAAAATATTGTCGACCCCTTACAGGTGAAATAAAAATTTTATTTTGGGCTTATTTGAAAGCCCTTGAAATTTGCTACAAGAAAGTTTTCATCTCATAATCTATAAAAAATTCATCCTCGAGAAATAATGAGTTTAATTTATAAGTTACATTTTTATCACTTTTTTGGGGTGCGTTTGAGTGATTTCTATGACATGAAAGTTTATCACATTAGGTTTTACAGTTGAATTTTTTTCGGAAAATAAAATTAATGCTATCTTGTAGCAAATTTCAAGGGCTTTCAAATAAGCCCAAAATAAAATTTTTATTTCACCTGTAAGAGGTCGAAAATATTTTTTAAAGACGACTACCCCCGTTTTTCCGTTGATTTTTGGGTTTCAATATCTCGATGATGCAAGTACATCAGAACTTCATTTCTTTTGTATTTCGTATCTATATTGATAGATATGTTCACAAAAATTTTTGTAGATTTTTGCCATTATTAGAACCCTATAAAACAAGTGTGGCTATATACTTTTGGAACGCAATAATTTTGGGCTAAGTCAAATATCCCCTAATTTCTATCCGTATAGTTTCATAACGCATAAAATAACATTATCAGATCCTTAAAATGGGTCTAAAAAATATTTCAAATTAATCATAATCCATTTAAAAATTTATTTACCTGGAGATTTAGAAAAAAATTGGGTGGCTATATACTTTTGGAACGGAGTGTATGTTTTTATATAATTTTATTAAAATTTAAAAAAAACTGACAATTTTCACACTTTATTGCAACCTTCTACTAATAACAATCTTTTGTTCCACACTCATCGTTGTCAATATTACAGCCATTTTTCAAATCATCAATCAATTCATTAATCTGGAAAATCGTTGGAAATTAAATTTCTTTATTTCAAATTGAGATTAGCAAAGAAAATCTTACACTTTTGTGATTATTTCTCTCATATGCATTCCTCTCATATTTTCTTCTTTCCATCGATTCCAATTGTTTTGTAAACATAATCAATTTTCTGTTAATTTCATCTAAATAAAATTAAATTTATTTTGATTTTATTCGACAATTTCAAAGATACTTTTGCCGAAATCTGTATAAAGAGCTTCACAGAGTTGAACAGACATTTTAATTACATTCAATGATTCCTCCTCTTCTGGTTCGATATAGTCAATAAGTGCGACAACGCCTTTTATCAATATTTCTCTAGAATCTGATTTCAATTTTTCATCAACGTTAGCATTTAAATCATCGAGTTGTTTTAAAGCAAACAAAAGTATGCTTTGCCTGTTAAAATAAATTCTGCCTTCCTTTTTAAAATTTTCTTACTTGATTTGGTCATTTTCAGTATTTGCACTCCACACTTCTGACAACCTGCCAATCAATTCTTTTTTAAACAAACGTGTCAACAAAACAAAAGCTGGTAACCGAAGAAATTCATTACTAAAACCAATGGAAATTTCAAAAAGTCGATTGAAAAGTTTTTGATTATCTAGAAATAAATAAAAAAAAAACAAAATATTTATTTTAAATATTCTAGTTACCAAAACTGTGTTTATCACCGAGAATACTAAGAATTTGTAAAGCAGAATCCAACAATTCCCATCTTTCTGAATCTTTAATAAAAAGAAAAATACGAATTAAATTTAAAAATTTTTGTCTATAAAAAAACGGCAGCCTTTCCCATAATTTTCCATGTAAAGTAATTAATAAAGTTAGTATTAAATGTTTTCTAATAATAATTGTCCACATTTTTACTTATTTTTAAATTTAATTTTTATATTCATTTTAAATATGTCTACTTTGTATGTCTGTCAGGGGTCTAGCCGACCCGATTCCCGAAAATCGAGAATTTCCAGAGGGTTTTGGATTATGGATTCCCGCTAAATCGCGAACTAAATTTTCTCGGGAATAACCGATTCCCGAAATCGGGAATTTCATTTTGATGTTGGCTAGAACCCCGATGTCTATGTACTTGCTGTCTAAAGTGCTTTTGAATGGAAGGAGGAAAAAAACTTTTAGGGCAAATTTCCCGTTATTTAAAAAAACTTACATATTTCCTCCTCTTGATTCAACCAGGCCCGTAGCCAGGGGGGGGTGAGGGGGGGAATTCCCCCCCCCCCCCCCCCCCCCCCCCCCGAAATGGGAAAAAGGAAAAAATTTGGGGAAGGGCTGGGGCAAAAAAAGTGAATTTTTTTGGCCTACGGCCTCTGAAATTTAAAAAATTTTCGCCTGCGGCGCTAAAAAAGGAAGAAATCTGGCTTCTTGAGGTCCAAAATTCAAAAAATTTTCGCCTGCGGCGCTGAAAATCAAAATTTTGGCGCCTGCGGCGCCGAAAAAGTGAATTTTTTTGGCCTACGGCCTTCTAAAATTCTCAAAATTTTCGCCTGCGGCGCTGAAAATAAAAATTTTTGGCGCCTTCGGCGCCAAAAATTTGGCGCAAAAAAATTCCCCCCCCTCGAAAAAAAATCCTGGCTACGGGCTTGGATTCAACAACAAAACTGTACTTAACAAGCCACATATTTGTTCAGTTAATTGAGAATTTCTTTGCAAAAAGCGCCCACCGCTTTGTTGTTCGAGCATTTTGAGGAGTGAAATTGCAGAAGAACTTTCCTATTTTATTATTGTATTTTTAAAAGAAATAAAATATACCAAAAGATACGGAAGAATATATTGTTCAAATAATTTGATTATACTTTCAATATCACAAACATCAAGCAAAGAATGAACAAAAGATAAAATTGCATCTTTATTTAAAACGTAACGCCATTTTGGGGAATTTAAGAGTTGCTGGAGAAAACTTGAGAATACATAAAAACAGAAAAATATTGTTTTGATGAATATTTATTTCTTTAAAAATACCTCATTAGTTTTGAAAAGTTTATATTCGTTGAGTAACGGCCCAACAAAATTTAAATCATAATCAGAAACAATTGCTAGCAAATCCAACACTTTGTTAAACCTTTAAAAAATGAGCTCAAAAATTGACAGAAATTAAATTAAGGGATTTACCTATCTTCATTATAATGAGATCCTTCGTTCTTTGCAGTCAAAAAACGTTCAGCAAGTTTTGACAAAATTAAAGTATGTGTAAAGCGGTCTTTGAAACCATCAGAAATATTTTCGTTGAAATTTGTTGATTTAAATCTAAATTTAATTTATAATTAAAAACAGATAAACAATACATTAAATCCGCTACAAGTTGTGCAAAGGAATTTTCAATCTTCTTTAATTTCTTTGCTTTCAGTATGATTGGAATGCCATGTCCTGATGACAACAATATATTGACAGAATTTTTGCTAAAAATTAAAAAATTGCAAATAAAGTTAAATTAAAGAAATTTGGTAGACTTGGGGGAGCTGCTTAAGCAAAAATCCTAATAATGAAAATGATCGATCTTATATAAAAAATTTCTGTCCAAGAATTATATGAAAGTTGAGGTTAAAAATTAGCAATAAGGTTAACCATGAAAGAATGCGAGTACAACTCATGTAAACCAGATTAAAGTCAGCGACTCTAAGAACATGTGCCAATTGGTCAATCAACTCATTATTGCCATATTCCAACGCTTTCTCACTTGAATTTATTCGAAGAATAGCTGACTGCTCAATTATTTTGCGAAGAGAAATTGGAGTTGATTCATTTGCCAAAGGGTAAACAATCATATTTGAAATATCTTAATAAAACAATAAAAGTTATATTCAAAAATTAGACAAACCTAATTTGAAAGGCCAATCATTTTCTGAAATTTGTTTTTTGTACATTTCCAAAAGAAGCTCGTAGAAAAGCATTTTGAGAGTAAAAGTGGGTTGATCAACTGTCTGACTGTGAGTGTTTGAATCAACCAATGGAAGTATAAACTGTTGGAAAATTTGTAAAGCTTCAGAACCTTTCAGGAACTCAGAAGGTTCAGATAAGCTCTAAAAAGAATAACAAAAATTCGTGAATCAACTTGACATATACATGAATAACTTTTGCCAGAATTCCAACATAAAAAGAAATAATTGTTTGACGCACCATTCGACTCCAATCATGTTCCAAAATTGATCTCTGTAATTCTTTAAGGCCAAATCCATCTAATTATAAGATAAAATCAAAATCATTTAAAAAATAAACCTTTTTTGAATAGAACTTCGACGTACTGTTTGACGAAGCCTACATCAATGTGGTTTTGTATGGGCTCTAAAACTTCAGATTGTAGCAAATCCGGACATTCAAAATTTATTTGGGCAGGCATATAAAAATTAGAAGCTTAAATCAATTAATTTACGAAATTAAAAATAAAGTTAAAAAATTGTAATTTATCAAATAAAAACCCAACCAATTTAATCAATTTGTTAAGAAAACTAAAAGATAAATATTAGGGATGGGCAAAATCATATTTTCAATTTGTTTTTATGACCAAAGAATTGAGCATAAATAAGCAACAGTTTGCAAATTAGAAAGCTTTTTGAAAAAGCTTTACCTTTTTGGGTAAAAACGTTTCATGTTCGCCAATTATTTTTTGAATTTTGTCCATCCCCGAACAAAAATTAACATCAAAACAAATACATATTTGAATATCAAATTGAGATGCATGAGTACTATTTACTTTTTTCGATTACTTTTACGCTTGACATTCGATCCTTCATCATCTGAATCAACCAAAACGATCTCCGGTTCTTTTGTTCCAACATGTCTAATCACAGTAGAATAAGAGTGACTGATATTCGAAGATTGAGGTTGTTGTTGATTTTGAGATTGATTTATCTATAATATTAAAATAGAGATGAAGATTATAAAAATTTTACAAATAACATACACGAGGAAGAAAGAAATTCCCATTTCCTTCTTTAACCAACGCACGATATGCATCGACAAGCTTAAGCATTTTCTCGTAATGTTGTCTAGAGCAAATAGATCTCTGACCGCAATCAGCAGGAACATGCCCAAGAGAAGCACAATTTTTACACAAATCTCGCAAATCTCCCTTTGTAACAACTCCACGATTACAGCGAGTTTGTAACTAGAATTTTGTTGCATTGACCTGGGTATCAGGAAAAGATCAAACCTGAAGTCCAACTGGATCAACTGTTCCATTATTTTCAATCCCATCCATAATGATAAACTTTTCAAATTTTTCAGAGAAATCAATCTAAAGTATAAAAATTTTAATAAATATTTAAACAAATAAGGAAGATTTAATGTAAAAATTACCAAATTATCATCGTTAAGATGCACAAAAAATACTTGAATAAATTCTTCCATTTTCTCAGTAATCAATTTGAGTGTAGAGCGGGGAGCTTCAGGACGAGCACATTCACTCCAAATATGACCCAAACCACTACAACGTTGACAAATCAATCGAGTATGTTCCTTAATATCGGCGTTAAATTTTAATAAGTAAAAAACGAAAACCTTGGTAATCTTCCCATGTGGAGCGACAACACGTAATCTCTGAATGAATGGATCGTTGCGCCGAACAGTGTACTTTTCAGCTTTTCTTTTCAGTTTCAATTTATCGAGTTCTTGAAGTCGTTGTTTATCCTCTGCCTTACGAATTCTTTTCTAAAAAAATAATTTGAAAAATAAAAAGGAAAGGAAGAAAACATACCTGCAATTCATGATCAGTAATACGGGGAAGAAGACATCCTACTTGACTGTGGCCAAATCGACCGCAATTGAGACAAAGACCTAAAGCAGCATCTTTTTCCGTAAATCTGGTAGTTGTGTTGGTGCTTTCAAGTTCCTATATGAATTGAATAATAATTATTCTAATGTAAAAATTACATTTCGAATGACCCTTTGATCTTGAGTATGAATCGGTTTTGATGGTAAAGAAGGGCACACTTCGCGTGAATGTCCATCACGACCGCAGTAATCACAAATAATAGGTAAGGGCAAATTTGGTACAACTGGATTACTGGCCTGATAAGGCATCTTCCACTGGTTGGAATTTGGAGTATACTGAAAAATCAAAATTTCCATACTTATGTTAAATATATAATATTTCAAGAAATTACAAAATTTTTTGGTCCCAAATTCGGTGAAATACCGGGCATAAGTCCAAAGCCAGTCTGCGGTGCAATAGGATTGACTAAAAAAGATAACTTTATTTTCCAAAAATTAGGCTTGCCTTGCGGTCTCAAAGGTGCAGACATTGAAAAAGCGCTGGGGAACGAACTACCTTCTTGCTGTTTACTTAAACCAGAAGGAATGTTCTGCATGCTAGAGAAATTTCCTGAAAAAGCATGTTTAATCAAAATTAAGCACATTTGATTATGAATTATTTTCTAATGTTCTTAAGAGATAAAAAGGAATAATAAGCGATAGTTTATAAAAAATCTAGAATATAAGTAAATTAACTCCAACCCACTCTAAAATTTTCATACAAAAAGCACCCACCTTGATCAACTGATTTTTGGAGTAAATTTGCTCCAACAAATCCTTGTGCTAACATAGAATGTGCGCGATCAAAAAGCTCTTTAAGAGAACCTGGAGTCTTGCTTGAAAGTCCAGGAGGTGGTGGCGTAATTGTCATTGGCATAACTGGAGGAGGTTGAGGAGAGCGTGCAGATACACTATCCTTCCGTTTGTAACTAATTATTTCCAAATCATCATCATCATTGCCATTACGTCGAGACCGCTCATCAGAGAAGGTGCCGCGATGACGCGAACGTGATCGGCTTCGCTCGGATACTCGATTAGTTGTACGCTGTCGACTTCGACTCCTTTGACGACGATCTCTACTTCGACTTCGGCTCTTCTGGGTCCTGTGACGACTTCTGCTGCGGGTTCTACGAGAACTACTTTTTCGAGGACTTGGGCTTCGACGACTGGATTTTATCGTAACAGCATCATCATTGCTAGAATTAAGTATCCATTGCTTCTCTACATTTTGATCAACAATAGTACGAATTTGATCTTCGAAACTGGTTTCCTTGCGAGATACTTCTCTAGGGAATGAAATATTTGGTAGTGATTCTATCCTAAAATTCAAAAGGTTTATTTGAATGAATAAACTTTGTAAAAAAGTCAAACCAATTTTTCTTATTGTTAGCCCCGCTTTTTGCACTGCCTAGCATATTTCGCAATCTTTCTACTTGTTCAATATGTTCATCAAACGCTGTCCGCTTCCCTTCCAAAATTGCATCTCGCAATGAATTGTTTGATTTATCAGAACGCCTCGCATTCTTCCTCTGTTCCTTCTCATCTTGGCTAGATTTTCTGGCAGAATTTAAACTGAAAAAAGAATCGTCCTCAGTGTTGCGATGAGAACTGCCGTTGTCTTCATTTTGAATTGACTATTAAAAATTTCAGATTTTACTAAATTAAAAGTACATCAATTATAAAAATTTAATATCCTGTTAGGGAAACACAGTTTAATTCGCAAATCATTAGGCGAAACAGAGACAAGTAGTTTAATTAATAATGCAGATAATTTTTTTTGTAAAAATCTAAAAAGTCCCAACCCACTTTGAGTAAGATTATGTTTAAAAACCTTTGTAATATGTCGCTTGAATTGTGGAGTTATTAAAGTTGAAGAATCTGGTTTTTGACTCTTTGATTGAGAACTAGCAAAAGTATCATCACTTGCAAGCATTGAAAGAAGAGTTTGAAGAGAACGCGTAGTTGAATTAAAAGCATCAATCTGGGCTTGTATTTTTTTAATTGCTAACGGATCCCGTTCCTGCACCAAAAGTTTGTGCAAATCGATCAAAAGCTTTTCATTTTGCAGAATACAATCAGTAAGATTTGATTTCGCATTTGAAGTAATTAATTTCTTTAGTTCTTTCTAAAATGTAAAATAAAAGAATCAATCCTTACTTTTATCAATAACGTCCAAATTTCCTTTTCAATACAAAAATAAAAAGAAAATATAAAATGAAGAAAAGAGCAATTAAAAAGGTAAAAACTTATAATTTAGCATAAAATTTTTAATATAAAATTCTTACAAACCTCTTCCTTATCAGCAATAAATTCATCTCTTGATTTTTCAGCTCGCATATTTGAAGTTGCCGTGCTTGTAGGTGCCGCCTTCGCCGAATTTGATAAATCACCTGCACCGACACGTTTAATGAGATCAATCCAATCATCGGCAATATTTTCGCTACGGCGTTGAACAGCCAAACTTCCAGAAGGAGCGTTAGAAATTGTATCTTCTGTTTTTTCGGAACGTTTTTGTTGAATGTCAAACTCCTCTTCTTGAAGACTTCTCTTCAGCTCAAGATCACCACCCGAACAATCAATGTATGTACTATATTTGCTACACCAAAACATCCACTGAAAATAAACAATAAAGAACAAAATGCAAATTAGAGATCGGCAAAATCACATTTCCGGGATCCCGTAACGGGATTTTCAAAATATCGAACGAGGGGGATCCCGCGGGATTCAATCCCGGAGTCCCGGTAATCACATTCGTCGCTAAAACCCGGGATTCCGGGAAGGGATCCCGTAAAATCCCGCCAGGGATCCCCTCCCGTGCCGATCTCTAATGCAAATATTAAACCTTGTTCGACTTTGGATTGTAATAATAATCAGAGTTTCTGTCATAGAAGAAACCGGTAGTTGAATCATGAAAATAGCCTTTTGTTGCATGATAAATAAAATTTTTTGGATCAGGAGAAGCTATAATTAACGTTAAATAGAAAAGAGAAATTTAAAATACCAAATGTTTGTAAAAGACCAAAAGGAGTACGAACAACGGGCTCAAAAGGCAATGACGATGAACCAGCTCCGAGAACTAAAAAATAATACTACATATAACTCTTTGGTAATAGTGTCGTTTCCAGTCCACCTTTTTTCCTACCCAAGCTTTTCCTATAATTTGTACAGAATGGGCAGACTTTTCCTTCCTTACATTACAATTGCCTTTCTTTCTTTCTAAAGAACTGAATAAAAAATAATCATTTTTGATTGTTTGTGGGTAAAATATAGTAAGGCCATTGTGATCGAAGAAGGAAAAGTTTTCCAGTTTTGTACAGATTATAGGAAAAAACTTGACAATTTCCGAATCTTCAAAGTACCTTCAACTGGAGGTCGATCACTGGTCGCATATTCTTTTGAAAATTGTGCCTTAGAGCCGATCAACTGACCACATTTTTTGCAAGCATAAATTCCCTTAGCATTGATACAAGCACACTATTAAACGAAGATAATTACAAAAAAAGATTTAAAGAACCTTAGCACAAATCCATTCTTTGTGAGGAAGAATAGGAAATTGAGTCGGCTGAGTAGAAACTGTTGATTGTTTTCCTGACAACTTAATTAAAAAAGGAATTACTATATTATTAAAATGACAAACCAAAGAAGTTTTTACCAAATTGTTCAATGCCTGTGAATAATCTACCGAAAAACCAGGATTGAATTGCATTTGTGAGCCAGGTATTGATTGCAAATTATTTCGGGCCATGCAGAACAAATATTCTAGTTATTACAAACTAAAATGTGTAAGGAAAAAAGACATTAAAAATGATTTATGTACACACGTCCAAAAATTATTCAAATTAAGTTAATATTCAGTCAATTAAAATAAATCTAATACAAAATTGTCATACGTAAATAGCAGAAATAAAATTAATAAAGGGCAGATTAAATCTTTAAAAGTGCATATTTAAGACAAAGATTTTGGAGTTAAGAGAAAGCGACCAAAACACGGCGACGAAACGTCAGTCTTGTTTTGAGATGGACTGTTTTGTCGCAGTGGAAGTTTCGGCAAATAAATACGATATAAAATAATGTTATCGTAAATGTTCTAATTGAACCACATTTGCTTCTATTTTTTGATCCTTTCGTAGGGTGTGCTTATATTAGAGAGATAAAATAGAAGTGTTGTCCTATTAGAACATTTACGGTTATTTGTGCAAGGATCCCCTCTATTTTCAATGATTAATATTTTGATTTAGTTAATTAAATTTTTAATTAGATTTGTGATTAATAATTAATTTATGTACCGGCCAACAAATTTTAAATACAAATAGAAAAAAATTATAGTAAATCACATATTGAAAATAATTATAAAATTAATTATATGTATGTATTGTTGTATCTTTAACCCTGAACCCCTCCAGTAAAAAAATTGCTGAAAATTCCAAGAAGATCCGGATTGTTTGGAACAACTGAAATTCCAAAATAAAAAATTTAACAGAATTTTTTGCCAACTTGGCACAGTTTGAGGTCTTTGAGTAGATGGGGGAGGCAAAGGAATACATTTACTATTCGCCATTTTATAACCACACCGGCAAAGACAACGGCCTCTGTAGCATCCAGCCTGGTCTGGACATTGTTCTTGGACAAAACAAGGACCACCAAGTTGTGATTTACTCAAACAATTTGTGTCTCTGCTTATACTGCTACTCTAAAATTTAAATTTTTATTAAGTTTAAAGTATAATATTCTTAGGCTTTTTGCAGACTTTTGAAAAAATTTATCCCATTGAGGAAAAGTTATAATAAAATATTAATATAAATTATTATCTATCCTTTTGTTGTTTGATTTGTTAATAAAAAAATATTTGTTTACTTTATCACACTCTCGCCGACATTGCTGACTCGGATTTTTAGTAGGATGAGTAATTACATCAGACAATGGGGAAAATCCATCAATACACTGACATTGACCTATAAATTAATTAAAAAATATTATTAACTTCTTTAAGTTTTTAAAAAAAATTTTTGATTAAAAGAGTAAACCTTTAACACAAGTCATTCCCTCTGCTGCCCCACATTGTTCATGAAACTAAGAATATAAACAGTATTATACTATGCAAATAAAAGATAAGTTAAAAACCAACTCGACATTCAGATCCAAGTTGTCCACGAGTAACACATTCCCCATTTAAATATAAAGATTCTGGCGCCATTGAATTACAAGGTCTTTTACAACAAATTGCCTCAAATATTTTTTTATTTAAATATTTTATTTTTTAAAATACTTGTGAAAATGTGTCACCAGCAAGAAAATGACAAAAATGAGTTTCTGACGGACATGCCGGACGGGGAAGTAAATGTGAAAATATGCGAGTTAGGTTGGCTAATGAAGGGGGATTGGTGGGAGGATCACGACCTGATAAATTAAAATTAAAATTAATTTAAAAAATATTTTTAAATTGAAATTCCATTTATTTTGTGTCTAATATTTTATAATTTTTGCAATTTTAAAGGAATAATGGTAAATGTCCGGTTGGTGTCCTACATGTCCGCAAAGAGAATGCACATTTTTCCTTCCTTTTCTTGCATTTTTTTCTGCAAGGAGTGGCGCCCATTTTTCCTTTGTGTATGGTAGCCTTTTGGCATGTCGAAGGAAAGAGGGAAAATAATAAAAATTAATTACTAATAGAGTACTTAATTTAATACTAATAAAGTTATTATAACTAATAATGTTAGATTGATTTACAAACAGAATTAATTCACCTTAGGTTTAGATCAGTTAGGATATCAATACCAAACAGTAAATCATTAACAATTATTTATGAATCCAGTCAACGGTGCAAATACACAGCAGATATTTTACAAATCTAATTGAGAATGTTGTCCCAAATTTTTCATCTCTGATCATTTATAAAATAAAATATTTATTCGTACTCTAAGTATGTATTAGTAATTAATTTTTATTATTTTCCCTCTTTCCTTCGACATGCCAAAAGGCTACCATACACAAAGGAAAAATGGGCGCCACTCCTTGCAGAAAAAAATGCAAGAAAAGGAAGGAAAAATGTGCATTCTCTTTGCGGACATGTAGGACACCAACCGGACATTTACCAGGAATAATTTAAAGGACTAAGACTGATCATAACTGAACTGAATCTTAACTAAACCGGATCCGGTCGGATTTTTGGGACTCTGGGTCTCAACTTCGATCTCAGAATTTTATGGGGCCAAATTAATCCGGAAAAATCCGACAACATACGTCCGGAATGACTTAAAAAATCCAAACTGGAAAAGTCTAATATTCTGATTTTCAACTCCTTGGGGAATTTCTCAGTTATCATTACATTTTGCTTCATTCATTGCAAAATTAGACTTCCTAATTTCCAATTATTTTTATTACCTTGATTTTTCATTTACAATATTAAAAATTATTTATTAACCAAAAAATGCTGAAAATGAAGGTGTTGTTTGGGTTGTAGAAACTTCGGGAATACCAAAACTTCCACCGGATATACAACTAAATGAACTATCTACTGATGAACCTAGAGGGCATACTGCTGGACAGCAATGACCTACGGGTGATTCTGGCTGTTTTTAATATTTATATTTTTAATTAAAATTTAACAAACAAACAGTTGTAACACAATAAAAGCCTTGGGAACAAGTATCAGCCTCCTCAACAAAGTTGAGTATTTGGCTAGGTTGTGCTTTACGAGTGCATATTCCAGAAGGTGCCCCACCTTTTAATTATTTAATAAATCAAAAAATTCTCGTATAGGAAATAAGAAGTATTACCAAGTGGACAATTAGAAGTAGCAACACATTTGCTTCCTTGCTGAATTGTACCCGAAATACAAACACATTGGTGATTAACCTTAGAAATTTATTTTTATTTAAATAATTGCAATTATAATAAAATACACAAGCAGAAAAAGGGGAGGTACAATCATAATGGCGAGAACATCGATCACCCACTCGAGAGACTTTAATAAAAAATAATTTATCAAAAAATATTTTTCTTAAAAAATAATAATTCACCAGATACACATTCTCCATTCACAATTGATGTTGATCCACGTTGAACGCATTGACACCGACCTCCTCTACAAAAGAGAGGTTCTCTACATTTACTCTGGCATTCTTGCCCAACCTTTGCGGGCACTCAAATAATTAAAATAATTTAAAAACATTTAAAAACCAAACATCGACTACATCTGGCTGAAGTACTTCCCCCCTTTTCAGATTTTACCATTTGATAGAAAGGATGACATTGACAAGTCTGCCGTAAACAGATTGAGCCTTTCAATTCACAATCGGCATCTTTATCGCAAGATTCGTTGAGTAATGCTTTTCCTGTTAATCATTTTTAAACAAAAAATTTGGAAATCTATTTAATTTTAATTGAATATTTCATAAAAATTCATTGAAGGTTGGTCTCAATTACTTTTTGTGCTAGAATAATTTTTATAGTGATTGGGTATATCAAAATAAAATAATGCTTAAAGGTGTTGTTTAAGGTTCGATCAAAAAAAAGTGAGTAGATAAGTGAAAGTTTTATTTATTCTTATTTGGAGGATATTACTGTAATTAAATTTATAATTAAATTCCCAATTTTTATTCCTAAGTAAAATTATTTAATCTTTTATTTAATCAAAAATAAATATAAAAATATTTTTAAATTTTATTTTTACCATTACAAGGGTTAAATTGTGCATAAACAAAAGTAAAAATAAATAAATTTAAAATTAAAAGAATAAATAAATTATTAAAGAATTGTGGAATTTTTTGAGTAAAAATTTTATTTTTTGTATATTTTTGTAAATATTCCATCAAAATTAAAAATAAAATTTTAAATGGACAATAGGTGTTTACAGCAAATTCTCGTTTGGAAGGATTTTAAATAATGTGATGATGAATGTACATTGATGAATATATAAATCAATAAAGAACGAAAAGCTGGTAATATCTGCGCAATGACTGAATTAGGGCATATTTAAAATAAATATTTTTTTGGGTGTATCAAAATAAAATTTAAAAAAATTAAATATTCCTCTTTTTTCTAAACTTAAAATATACTTTGATATTTAAATGTTTTTCATCTCGTCCAGCCTTATTATCAATAGGGTTGGGGTTTTCGAGTCGGGCCGACGTTCGAAGCATTGTTTCAGGCCTCATTTTTATCGGGCCGGCCAGACCGAATTCAATGCCCGACTGTATCTTTCAGACCGGGCCGGATCACGCCCCCAACCTTAATTATCAACTTACAAATAAATATTTTTATTTGTTATTTATTTTTAAAATTTTTGACATCTAATAAAAATCAATTATAAAAAACTCATGATATCAAAATTCTTTAATTTAAAACAATTAAAAATTACTCTTTAATCTTTTTTTTCTTCGGATATTAATTTCTTTTAAAATTTTTTAAAAGAAGGAACACTTTATTCTCTCTCATTCTCTCAATTATTTATGAAGAAGAACGCTTTAAAACTTTTTTTACTTTCCCTTTAAAAAAGCGAACACTTTTTAAAAAATAAATAAAAATATTTGTCAGTTGCTTTCTGTTCGTCTGTCACTTCTTTTTTTATTTTCTGAACGTTAAACTTTTTTTTATAAAAACGACAAAGCATTCAAAAACATTTTAAAAAACTTCTTTAACTAATTTAATATTTTTTTAAAATATTTTTTAAGGCTTTTAATTTGAAGAAATGGATAATATTAACAAAGAGGTGTTTATAATTTAAATAAAAATTAAATAAAAATTTAAGTATTTATGCAATACTTAGCATTAAATTTGAAAGATAATAAATACCGTATTGTCTCTAATAGAAGCCCAGGGCTTCTATTCTTCAATACCCCTCATTGGGTGGGCTTCTATTATGGCACGGGCTTCTATCGGAGCCGGGCTTTTATTAGAGCTTTTACATTATGATCACAATAATTCATCTAACTTTTATTGCGAGTTATCAAAAATAATCTACTGATATCAAGACATAAACCAATAAAAGGAATATCTCATTAGGATTTAAAACCGGTGACCCGATTGTTAGTTTACTTAAAATGTGAGCTTAGTATTTAATTTGATTACTGCGGGGTCGTTTATCTGTTGCTCCTACCTAATAATTAAATTATACTTACAAGCAAACAATTTATCTAAAAATCTCATGATAAGAATAATAATTAAATTTATCATTTATGAAATTAATTGTGACTTTTTTTAATAATTTAAAGTCGTGGCAATATCTTATATCGGGGGTCCCACCTCTATTATAAAAAAGATCTGAAACTTTTTGTCTTAAAAATAAACTGGCTAATTTTTTAAAAATTTTAGATAAAACAAAAAGTATTAGAATCAAATTGGCGTAATGGAGGTGATTCTGCTGGATATACATTTACTGATATTGTTCTTAAAAGGTTTAGAAATTTATAAAAAAAATTGTTGTTAAAAATACCTATTTTAGTTTTGAAGAAGTTAAGAAGAATGGTAGACATGCAAATGCTTGCAGATTTTATGAAATGTAAGTAAAATTATTTGAAAATAGATTTCAAATGTATTGAAAATAAATATAAAATTCAAAAAAAATTGAAAAAGCAACGATTTCTTTACGATTCCTTTATAATAAAACTTACATTTTAATATTTAATCAAAAACCGAGTGAACAAATTTTCCTAGATGCTAGTACATTAAACAATTTTTAAATCATTTTCTTTTTAAATTATTATTATTTTCAGGTATCATCCAGAAATTGGCAACTTACGTAAATCAAAGAGTTATTCAGCATTTGCTCCAACTAATGCTATGGAATATAAGTAAAATAAAATTGAAAAAAATATAAAAATATTAAATTTCAGTGATCGTAAAGTCGATCCAGATTTACGTCCCTTTTCCTCTTATAAACCAAAACGTGGAGAATGGAAAAGTCAACTTGAAAAGGTGAATCACACACCACATGTAAAAATTAATAAAGCACCTACTGTGGCTGCTCTTCCACCTTTGCCCCCTGTGAGATAATCTTAAATTTTTTATAAAATTTAAGGATACGTAGAATACTTCTTAATTTCTAACAATAATTTTTTATTCGATATTTCCCAAGTTATTCTTTTTCTAGTTTCTTTTTCCAGTCCTAAGTTATTCTTTTCCAAAGTTCCAATTCCCAAATATTATTTTACATTTTTTCCTTAAAATTATTGTGGGGCCCAAAGAATTTCCGTTAAAGATCACACCACAAAGGAAATTTTTATTAGAGTTTTTTCAATTAATTCCTATATTTATTTCTTCTCATCACTGATTTTCCCAATATTCTATAAAATAGTTTAATATTTACTAAGAATAAATTTTTCTAAAAATTGTTTTTCTTTAAATTAAAATAATTACTAGACATATCGCCATCAATACCCAACATCTGCAGATCTCTCACGTTTTGAAAATTTTGCAATTTATTGGAATGGACGTGCCCGCGGTTTAGAATTATCGCAACCTTTTCTTTACGAGCCTGAACGTGATAATTACAGCATTGCAGAAGATAGAAGGTATCAACGTCTTTATTGGGCGCCTAAATTTATTCCACATCAACCTTCTGCAAGACATGCACGTCAAATTATGTTAACTGCTTATTGAAATATAAAGAAGGAATAATTAATGTACACAATTAGTTTAAGGAGGAAATTTTGTAAAAATAATAGAAGAAGGAAATATTTTTTCAATCAAACTAATCTTGGACAAACTAGAAAACTAAAAATTCAGTTAAATAATACTGAAAAATTATATAATTTCTCAATAAAAATTAGAGAAATTTTATTTTGACTTTACTATACTTTTAAATTGAATCTTGCTTTCAATAAATAGCTTAATTTTATGATTGATGCTTTTATTTGACATTAATTTTGAATATTATGTATATACAATGTATATAAAATACATATATGTCCTAAAACGAATAAATTTCTTTTTAAAATTTTTTTATAAATTTGTAAGAAAACGACAGGTTTAATCAGGCTTAGCAATGGAATGCCTGCGAATATCCGTCAGTATTTGCCGTAAATATCCGGATACGGATACCAAAATCCACGTCTTTTACCAAGTATGGTTTCAATTTTAAAATATTTTGTTAGAAAAGGAATATTTTTAATTATGTGAATTAAAAATCACAGAGATCTCTTTGAATTCAACAATTAAATTCTCTAATGCCCATTTCATTAGTTTATTTTTTAAATTATTCTTGTGTTTAAGATTTTAACAAAGATTTTATTTAATATTTAATCTTATCAGAGAATTTTTCCTTGAACTTTTTTACTCTTAAAAATCATTTCTTTTATTTTTTCTAAAAATATATTTTAGTCGATGATCTAAAAAAGTAGGATTAGTTTATGAAGGAAGGGAAACATTTGTTTTTATTATTTATATCCATCCATTTGTTTGTCAAACCTAAAAAACAAAAAAAATTCTAAAAATATATTTACCTATATATTAGAGAATGTATGGACGACGTTATGTTTGGGACCGTTCTAAGCCAATGTAAGAAAATATTAATATTTATTTAATTTTGAGATGTAGATAAATTGTTTACATTATTCATTCTTACTGACATAAATTAGAAAATACCTTAAGAAGGAAAAAGACGACTTAGATGGAAATAACTTAGATCTCATTAATCAAATTAGAAATGTAAATTAATTTCCCACATATTATTAGGATGTAGTGGTTTTCTAACCCTAAATGCTTTGTTTTTACTACAAAAAGCCTCCCAAAATTGCAGCCTTAAAAATATTGTAAAAAAGAGAAAATACTCAAGAATAGGGCAAAAATGAGGAGTTAAGCTTAATGAGCGGAAATTTCACTTCTAGCGCCGTTGGCGAAATTTTTGAGAAAATGAGAGAAAAATTCATTGTTATCACTACAACTAGGACATATTTCTACAAATATCAAAAATAGGTCAGAATGCGATAGAGGGATTACTCTGTTTGGGGTAATGCATATTAGTTAAATTATTTTATAGGATATAAGTATCTATGTCAATATAAAATGATTTTCTAAGATAAAATTTTAATTAAATATTATCTACTGATAAATTAAATAGGTAGTTTTTTCAGTATAAAATTTTTATCTTAATTAAATATAGAAATCATTTGGAATGGGCACCACCAATGCGAGTTATAGCAGCAATTACTTTATTTGCAGCTACATTAGATCTAATGGCAGATTTTTTATTATGTAGTAGATTAGCTGAATTTCTCCACAATTTTCAATCAGAAAGAGCACGTTTATGTGCTTATGGTTATTTTTTCTTTACCGGAGTTTCTGTACTTGTTTATATTTTTGAAATTGTTGATGTTTGTTTAACTCTAAAAAATGAAGAAGAAGATTTATATTTTGCAAGATTGGCTAAATCTATGGTTCTTGTATTTGAAGAAGTAATTAATTTATTTTTAAATTGATTTTTAAATAAAAGAACAAAATATGTAACAATAAAATATTAAAATAAATATTATATCCAGGAAAGGATCTTTGACAGTATTTTCGAGATTCTCTATTTCGGAATCCTTCTAAGATTTTTATTTTCTAAAATTTTTATGATTCTAGTCTGGAGAAACGTTTCACGTCTTATTAGAAAAATTTCTAACATACCACTAACGGGAATTTTTTTAGGGTTTAGTACATACTAAATTTCAATATTTTTAAAATAATAAAAAAATCTAACGAATTCTTTTATTAAAATAATTTTTATCGAGAATTTCGGGGCGAATAATTTCCATAATAATTTCCTTAATTTATTATAATTTAACTTTGTTTTTAAAAATAAAAATAATTCATTTTCTGTGAGGTGCCATTACCAGCATTTCTTTATTTTTTGTTTACGGCCGAGCCGCGTCTTTCAATTGCTGACCCAATGTATATAGCTTCTTGGTTTTTCAGAATTAAAATATTTAAATTCAATTTTTATTTTAAAGGATTAAACTAATTACTCTTGGATGGGGAATTGTTAAATTTACAAAATTACGTTTCTTTTGGCCTTTATTACCTTTTAATCCAAAAGTAAATAAATAAAAAAAATATTTTTTATGAAAAAATTATTTTTTAAAGCACGACAGGGATGAAAACATTCGTCGTTGTTTTAAATTAAATTTGTATAGATGTACAATGATTGTTGTGAATATTTGCCATTTATTTGCTATATTCATTGTTATTAACAATTTAATTGTTTCGGGAAGAGGGGGACGACCAATTCAACAAAAATATAATTAAAATAAAAAAATATTTTGTGGAGTGAGAGGAGGGAAGGAGGGGGTATAATCAGAGTTTTTTGTTGAAGTGATAATAAACAATTATTTATGTCGAACTTTATTGAACTATGCATGAGTAATGTATAAATTTTAAATAATTATTATTAGATTAAAACATTTCTTGTCCTATCATTAGAATTAATCTTATTTTGTTTTTTCTATAATATAAAAAAATTTTTTCATAAAATGTTTTAATCTTATTGGGTGAATCATATAAAAATAAAATTATTAAGAATTATTAAATATTTATTAAAATATATCAAATACTTCATTTATTTGTTCTGATTATTTTTGTTGGATTTATTATCTAAAAAATAAATTTAAAAAGATTTTAAAGGATTAAATTTAAAAGGATTCTTAAAAAGATTCTACTGTAATTGGAAGTGTGTCTAATGGTTTGAAGTAAAATTTTAATCATCTTTGTATAAATTGAATTAAAAGTATTTAATTACTATTTTTAGTGAATGTATAATACAATTAAGTTTATTTTAAATAAGCTTAATATTTTAATAATTTTTAATGTTTATTACCTGGTTGAGAAAAATCAAAAGGATCAACATCTGGTATCATATCTGCATATGATTTTATAAAGGGTAATTTAACGACTTGCTTGCTAGGACAATGACTAAATAAATTAATTAATTTAAAACAAAATTTAATTTAAAAGAAACTTACGAAGCCGTGTGATTAAATGTACCAGAAATTCCACAAATAGGGCAGGGAGGCAAAGAACATCTAACTGGGCAGTTTAATGAAGTGTGACCATTATAATTTAGACCAAGATTGCGACAATCTTTTATTAAAAATAATATTTAAATAAATAAATATATTTAATTACATCCACAAACTGTTGGAAATAATGGAGGTGGTTTAGATGACATTTTTTAAATTAAGTTTGAATTTATTTAGTTAGAATTTAAAATTATTATTTTTTTTTTCTGATGGGAATAAAAAATTATTATTTGAAATTGTTTCATATTATTGAAATGTAGGGGGCTTATATTTGAAGTTATTTTATAGCTAATAACTAGCGTTGTTCACGACCGGTTTTAAACCCAAAAATTTTGATATTTTTTGCCAAAAATTAACCGTTTTTATAAAATTTAAAAATCCTAAAACCACTGAAAATGAGTCATTATATTAAAAATTTCCCCAAAATAAATCTGCTTATGATTTCACTAAAACTCAAAAACAGTTTCGGTTAATTTAAAATATAAATTAACCGAAACTGTGTGTACCGGTTACTAACCGGTATTATTATTTAAAAAATAATATTTCTTAATAAATAAAAGGAAGAAAATTAAATAAAAAAAATTTTGGCAAATAAAAATAACAAAAAATAAGAAATGAGACAAATATTTATTAAAAATATTTTTTCTGATTTTTGGCAACTTTTCAATCCAAAAAACATTTTTTGTTAAGATTTGTTATTAAAATTTATTAAAAAATAGGCAGATGTTTAATATTTATTTACTATTTTTTGGAAAATATTTCTGAAAAAACTTTTTCTTTACGAATATTAATTAACTTTGATTCACTTTTAGTGTAAATACAAAAGAATAATTTTGATATAATTTATTAAACACTTTCTAAATTTTTTAACAAAAGATGATAAATAAAATGTGAAAAATAATAAATAGATAAAAAAATATTTGTATAAATTTTTAAGTTACTAATATAGTTAAATCTTGTTATAATATACCCCCGGTAATTTAAACAGCTCCGTTTGTGACGGTTTTGTGATTCTCATATTTCTACGAGATTCAACTTTATCAAATTATAGTCTCTCGATCATTTATTTTATCGTCAATTTATTTCTTATTTTCCTGGGATTATGTAAACATTTTATCAAATAATAAAGTTAAAGAATAAACTGCATAAATTAAAATAGTTTGTTGTAATTTTATTATTTTTTCAACTTTTCATTCTCGAACACATTATTATTTTTTATAATTATTTTTTCTATAAATTATTAGTGTAGAATATACCTTTAATCATCACAACTAAAAATATTCCCAATAAATTTTTATACTTCACTTGCTTTTATTTATATAAGTACCTACCTACATAAAAGTACATAGCCAAGGTCAATCCCCCCTTCTCCTTTCCAACAATTCAAAACTACTCACTCCCCTCTCCTCTTACCTTTATTTTTCAATTCTTTTTACAAAGCTTTAGGCATTCAAACCCTCCTCTTTCGGTCAGTCTGTGCCAGGTCCAATACAAAAATATTACTATTCTCTCCTAAATAAAGTATTGTCTCTCTCTATTATTTCCCTCATTTTATAATTTTGGCATAAACAAAATTGAAAGAAAAAAGTGTGGAGAACTGCTTTATATCCAATAATTATTGTTTTCGCGCGTTCGAAATTATTTTTATGTGTACTTTTGTTTATTGCCTTTATTTTTCTTCAACATAAAATGGGAATTTTTTAATGAAAAAATTTTCTAAAATTTTTAAAAATTTTAAAAATTAAATTTTAACTAACATAAGTATACATAGATATTGGCACGTTATAAATTTAGCTTCGGACAAGAGTTTTTGCAAATTTTTCAAATTTTTTTCAATAATATTTCCATAATTTTTGTTTAATTATTTTCTAAAAATTATTTTTTGAGTAATTTATTTCTTTCTTTTATCTTTTTTACAAATATTTTGCTACATAAATCTATAAATCCGATCAAAAATCATTTATATATTCCCGTTTTTTCTTTAAATTTCTCCCTCAAATTAAATTCCTCCTCTCTTTTCTTCTTCCTTTAATGAATTCCGCTCTCATTTTTGGATTTTTACTTGCAGATTTCCATCTTTGAAATTTTAACTAATTTATATTTTATTTTTGTTTGAATTTGTATATGTATGTACTTTTTAATTTGTTTCGAATAGACGAAAGAAAAATATTTAAAAAATTTAATTAAAAAATATTTTTCTTTCTCAAAAATACAAAAAATCAACACAATTTTTTATTGCCTAAATTTATTAACAGCTGCCAGCTTTAACTTAAATTTAAATATTCCGTAGTAAATTGTATCTTCTTCAGAAATTTTTAGTTCATTTGATACTTAATTAAATGTTAATAATCATCAAATAAGCTATTTATTCTCCATTACATTTAAAATCATAATGCCCTCATTCATCCTCTCTCTCGTTATAAAAAATAAACTAAAATAACAAAAATTATTATTATTTTTCGAATTCCCCATCAAATTTTCTAATTATTATTTTCTTTAATTTTTTTCTAAACTTATATTCCAATTTTATGTTTATTGCATTTTATGCTTTATTAGAAGATGAAATAATTCCCAAAATAATGTTTTGGTCACTCACATTCCCTTCTCATTTCTTTCGCCATCTTTGTAATTTTAAACACAAATTTCACAGCAACGACTGGTTTTTATTGGATATAAAGTATAATGTCCACTAACAAATAAATATATTTATTTCCGCCTCGCTTCTAATTTTCAAATTCTTAATCTTAGGAAATAAGAGAAAAAATGCGTAAATTATATTTATTAAATAAACTTAAAAATTTTTTTAGCCAGAATCTTTGTTGAGATTAAATCTCTGTTAATAATTAAATAGTTAATAATAAAACCCCAAAGGATCTGGTAATAAATTGTGGTATATCTAATTGTGTTAGGGATCAAAAAATGGTCAAATCAACGCTTTTGTCATTTTTCAAATACTATGGATACGATAGTTGATTGGTGAGGGTCGGAAAATTAAATTATCTGATCGAATATAAATTCCTTTGTGGATAAAATTTGGTATAATATATTAAATACCATTGCCCCTCTAAACAAAGTCATTTTATAATTATCTATTAGAAAAAATAAAATCCAAAATCCCAAATAACATATCCACAGATCATCGATCCGTTCACTTAGTCTCTACGAGGGCGGATAAGCCAACTTATTAATTTTTAATTATAAATTTAAATATTTTAAAAATTCATTAAAAATATCGATCTAACTATAAGTAAATATATTTTTACTAAAAAATCATTTCTTCCATTTAAACTCTAAAAACTCCGTAGAAGGACAAAACATAAAAACGGCCTTGAAAGTTATGGCGTCTCTAATGCGCAAAACTGCTTTTTTAGCAAACCATTTGAGCATTCTTATTTTTATTTTTTAACAAAAATTTCTTCGTTTAAAAAAGATATATTGCCCTAATAATTATTTTTTCTTTTCAAATTACCCGTTAACACATTTCTGGACTTTTTTTCTATAAAAAATACATAAATATATTTTTATAATATTGTTATTAAGAGGAATTTTGAACTTTGATGTCCCATAACACTTTTATCTGTCAGACAATAAATAAAAACAGCTTTGGATGTGATGATTTTTTTGTCATAATTTATCCGGACACCTTTTTACCCCTTTTTCTGTTTTAGACCTTGTAAATGTTTAGAATTATGGATAATTTTAAAAAATTTCAATTTAAAAATGTTTTTGTATTTTTATTTCTTATTTTAAACATTATCTCTCATAAAACATCTAAATTTAGTAAATACTTTTCGACGCATTATTTGCCAATTTTATAAATAAATTCCTGTATAAGTAAATCTCTTAAAATAAACAGAAATCATTTAACTAAAATATATATGGACATTAATTTCTAAAGATATTTATATTCAAATAAAAATAATACAATAAATACATATTTTAACAATTTAATTATAAAAATAATCTTAATTAAAATCCAGCAACATTCACTAATTTAAATAATTCAACAAAAAATGCTTAGTGCATATGAATGTCAAAGTACCACAATTCCTTCTATAAATCCACAAAAGAAGGTATTTAGTAATTAAAAAATAATTAAAAAAAAATAATTTTTAAAAGGAAAATAATTCTAATAATAATCGTGAATGTGTTTGTATTTTTATTTTGGGAATTTTAACTTTAGCTGTTATCTTTTCTTCTATTACTATATTTAAATATGCCTTGAGAGACAAATTTGTATATGATGAACTTGTTGATTATTTAGGTTATTTAAATTTTATTTAAATTTATATACCGTAAAAACTGTATTAATTACCCAGGGTAATTATTGTTTCGATCTCTCGCTGGAGGGGGTAATAAAAGCAGGCGGGGTAACTATTTCAGGGAGGGCAATTGTTATTTCGATCTGTATAATTTTTATTTTATCATAAATATATGAATAGGGATATACAATATGTTACCGAATGCGGCGATAAATATTGATGTTTTTACTGTTATTCTATAGTTCCTCAGCATATTCCTACACTAAAATGTTACCATAAAATCTATGCTTCCGTCCTGGGATATATAAAGACAAAATTGGATATTCATGATTTATAGTTAGGGGATATAATCTATACTTATTCTATTAATATATTCCTATATAATAAATATACCCGAAAATGGTAGCATACCAGAAATACTTCAGGCTTGGGGTATATACTAGTAATTAAATATTTTTTACTACTTAATGTATTTTAGAATAAATTAACCCAGAAAATTTTATATCAGAATTTTTTCAAGTTTTTGGTTAGTGGTTTTTAAACATTGAAAGGAGTTCAAATTTTGAGAACTGCGAACCTTTTGGAAAAACCTTCTTAATCTCTCATTATCCGCTTCCCAGATCATATTAAAACCTAGATAACCCTCTTGATTCATACAAATCTCCTGATATATTCCCCAAATCCTTTTAATCTCTCGACTTATTTTTTATATTGTCCTTAAAATTTATAACGATTTTTTAACAATTTTTAAAAATTAGTACAAGAAAAAATAGGGGGTAATTATTTGAGGGAGGGCAATTATTGTTTTGATCTCTCTCTACATGGGGTATTTAATACAGGTGGGGTAATTAATTCAGGGAGGGACATTAATACAGTTTTTACGGTATTTGAAAAATATTTTTTTCTCCCATCAAAATAATGTTAATTAAAATAAAAATAAAATATAGAATTAATGCTTGAATTAAATCTAAAATTATTCTTAAATATTTTTTGTGATGTTAGTGTAGACCAGAGGTGGGTCGGAACAGCCAGAGGTGTCGGAACTCGGAAAAGACGGAAATCGGAACTGGCTCAAATTTCGGAACTCAGAATTTCAATCCACCTCTGGTTTAGACCTTTATTGAAATAATCTGTTCAGAAAGTTGAATTTCGATTTTTTAACAACCTACAATTTCCTCCATTAAAATAAAAAAAATATTTTCAAATTAAAAAATTTTTCAAGATAAAACAGTAAGTATAAGCAAAATTAATTTTAACCCAACTCTTGGAATTTACGAATTGAGGCCAAATGAAATGGAAATTTTGGGAGAACAGAGAAAGGTTTAAACAATTAAATTTTGGACTTAATTATTTATTTATTCTTTAAGTATAAATCTTTAATATGGACATTCTTTTTTGTTGATATTTCTTCTTTAATATTTTTTGGAGTTTCCGCTTTTTTCTTTTTTAGTGTTCAACAATCAAAGGGAATTATTAGAGCACTTTTTTGGGTAATTAATCTAAATAAAAATTTATATTTTTTAAATTTTTTGTCTAAATCCTCTTCAAAATTTGCTTAGAATTGATAAAAGGAAAGTAATATTTAGCTAGATAGGATTTGTATGTGGCGAGGAGGAGTGGGGGGGGGGGGGTTAATTTATAGGCGAGAACGCATGGAGCAAACGTTTTTTGGCAATAATTGCTAGTATTCTTGCTTAGCTAAAATTGAAAATCAAAATTAAATATGTAGTAATCAAAATTATTAAAGTGTTTAACATTTTATTAAAACAGATATGGGTAATCATTTTTGATATAATTATTAAATCTATAAAAATTTTCAAATATTTTTAAACCAATTTTTATTTATCTTTTTAAGATATTTTCAATTTTTGGTTTTCTCTATTGTTTAATAGAATTGGGCGTTTTCACAATTTTAATTTCTCCATTCTCTACTCGATTACCTAACGCAACAATTGCTCTTTTAGATCATGCAATTCCTTATAATCCAGGTATTTATTTTTTAAAATTTTCAATTAAATCCAAAAAATATTAGGAGGATTAGCACAAATAGAAAGTCGATTTAATTGCATTTTTGATCAAAATCTTTATGACACTTTCAAGCGACATTCGAATCCAAAGGTAAGATTTTATATCTTTAAAGAATATTTAGTTTGGCGATTACAAATATTTGGAATGTAAAAGGACTAGGACTCGAAAATAGTTTTGGTTATCTAAAAGTGTTGGTTGTGATCGGTTCGGATATCCGAGACCGATATACTTAATATTTATGAAACCATAAATAAATTTTTTGATAGCTTATATGACAATATAACTTTGAAGTAGGGTAGTACCTTGGTCCTTCGGGTTTGAGCCTTCTGGATTCGGGCGGGGTTTTGCCAAAAAACTCGTCGTGGTTTTGGAGGAGGATGTGCTACCCTATTTTGTACTAATAAATAAAATTACTAATTTATAATATATCTATTAAAATTTTAATTTAAAGAATACATGTGACCCTCTACTATTAAACAGTTTTATACCAAACATTTTACTTGGAATATTTATTGCTATTCGGATTTTTCTTGTTTCAACATTAATAATTCTTTTACTTACTCCAAATAGTTCTTTTAATAGATCAATCGCAAATTTAATTCTTCGATTAAAACCGGCAATTCATTACAGAAAAAAGTTGGTAGAAATTTTAGTTAAATTTTAATTTTGAAGAGTTATATTTAAAAATATTATTTTTATGGGTACGGATTCTTAAGAAGTTTCCAATCCACAATTTTTGAGAATCGGGGCAGCAAGACCCTTGTTAAAAGCGAATGGGGAAGGGTTTTCATTCGTTATCAATTTTTGGGATATTTAACAAATACTCCATAATTTATTATTTTTTAGTAAATCAGAAAGAAATAATCAACAACAAAAAAATAAATTACCTTCTTATTATGCTTCACCAGCTAAAACAACATTTAGTGTTAAAGAACCTTCAGCACCTCAACATTCACCATTACCTACAAATATACCTCCAATAACTCCACCAATTGGGCATATCGACCATTCGATTAAGTAAAAAGAGAAAAAATTATTAAAAATTAAATTATTTTTAATTTGAAAGTTATAATAATGCTGCATTATTTGCTGTTTCTGGGGCTATAAATTATGGAGGGGGAGGAGGTTCTAGAAGTTGTTCAGATATTTCAATTGCAAAATGTGGAAATTATTCAACACAAGACTTGACAATTAGGTGAATAATCGGGGAATAAAAAGGGAAAAAATAATTGGAAATTAAAAAAAAATAAAAAAGAATTAGAGTTGAACTAAATGTGTTTTTGGAAAAGAATATTTAAATAAGTCCCTTTATCTCTTAAATATTTTTTTCAAAAATATAATTTAATAACAAAATTTCAGAGGAAGTACACACACAACAAACAGTCTTGTCTCTGAAGTTTAATTTAAATTTAACAATTTTTGCTCATTTTTAAATATCTCATCAGCCATTTAATAACTCCCAATTAATATATAATCAGGCTATGATCAAAATAATATTTTTTATTTTAATTTTAAATTAATTATTCATATTTAAATTTAAATTATTAATTATTTATTTAATTAATTAATGTATGCATACATTTAAATACTTTTTTTTTCAAAAATAATTAATTTATTTCTCGTTATTTTTAATTATTTGTAAACTCTTTCTTTTATTCCGCTACGCATATTCATTGACCTTTTCCTTGTAGTCCAATCAATCTGATCCATCTTTATTGGCATATCCTTTAAATATTATTGTTTAGTGTATAAATTTAAATTATAATTAAATAAAAAATCCTATTTGGTAAAAAAATAAATCAAAAATTTTAAGAGACCTATAAAATCATCATCGAATTAATTATACCCGTATTTACTCGAGTAAGTCCCCTGGGGAATTATTTTTCCAGCCCATCCGTGGCATGGGGAATTATTCAAGTGTGGGAAATTATTCGAGTTTTGAAATTTGAAGGTGTAGGAGGGTATTTGTGGGAGGGAAATTATTGTTTAAACTCATCCGTAGCAGGGTAATTATTCGAGGGAGGGGAATTATCGAGGGAGGGGAATTAATTGAGAAAATACGGTAATACTAGATATCCAATACAACTTTATAATAAAGCTTGGTAAAATTGAAATTACGGGATTAAGATTGCTTTATGTAAAGCGCTTGGAAAGGATTTCGAGCGTTAGCAATACCCCGTTTAATCCCAATTCCAATCCCATGCCGAATGAACAAATTTTGTTTGGATTAGGATTCTGGGTAAAATACTTAAAATATATTCAATGTAAATATATCAAATAATTTCACAAATATACTTACATCCATTGTCATAGTTCCAATTTTTCGAATTCCATAAGCATTATCTATCTTCAATTGTTCAATCGACAATGCTTTACTCAACAATAGAAAAATCAAAAAGAAGGAAAAAAGCTTCATTATTTTTTAGTTTTGTAAATTAATGAGAAATATATTAAAAATAATAATCATTTCTTTTCGAGAATTTTCATTCTTTAAAAAGGCATTGGAAAAAGAAACCTTAAATTTTCTTTATTTTTTGTCGAAAAATATAAATATTTCCTTGTCGTCACAAATATCCTTTAAATATTTATTGTTAATAAAGATGACATTTTATCCCAAAAATATCTCCATTTGCGTCGTTAGTTTACTGTAAAGTTTTTTACCAAGACTAGTGATTGTCAAGTTCTTAAGGTTATAAAGCTTAGTTAATTAACTCATTTTAAATTATTAAAGAAATTTTTAGCTAGCCAAATTTCAAGATTTCAATTTTTAGAATATGTATAGAATATTTTTGTCTATTTTTCGTTTATATTTTCGTTTTTTGAATTAATTTTCATAATTTTACAAAATTTTGACACACTAATCAGTATTACAAAAATTGTAAAATTTAATTTCTAATTTGGTCTAAAAGCGTAATTGAATGCTAGTTTTTTGTAGGAAGAATTTCCGACTTAGCCCAGGAAATAACATTTTGTTTTACTCATTTTTTATAAATATTTATATTTATATGAACTTTATCTTATTAAAAATCTTTTTTAAATTAAACAAAAAAGTCTTCTTTTTAATTACTTTTTAAGTTTAAAAAGCAAATGACAGTTATTGCGTAGTGTTATAGTAAACTTTTTATTATTAAATGATTACATATATTTTTTTCATTACAAAATTTTTTAAACTTATTACTACATACATATATCCTTAATTTATAACAAAGTATGTAGAGAATTGAATAATTAATTAATTATATACATATGTAAGGATTGAATGTCTTAAAAAATATTTTCAAAAAATATTTCAATATTAAAGGCTAGCTTATGTTAAAAACTGTCACTATCATAATACGTTTTTAAATGTACCTCTCGGATCTTTATTTTCTAATGTTTTTGTATACAAAAATAAATAAATTTTTTGTTTCAATTCCAAACCAGTTTTTTCCAATTTATTTTCAAATTAAAACCAAAAGATGTTTTACTGGATTTAAAGCTAAAAGTAGGAAAACTGTTTAAGAATAACGAGTTTTAAAAATAAAAAATAGTAATTATACCTATTTAATTTATCTCAAATAAAAATAAAAATTTGAGAAAAAACTATTTTTAGATTGCCCATAAAAATAGTCATATACTTAAGTATTTTAAATGAAATTTAATTGAAAATTATTTTTAAAATAATTGAAAAAGCTTTAATAATAAATTTGCTTAAATTATTTTAAATTTTATTTATTTTAATAAAATTTAAAAATTAATTTCGATTATCGTTCCAATAAATGAATAAACAAAATATTATTTTTAAAAAATTAAAAATAATTATTTTATTATTTTTTAAATTTTATTTTCAACAAAATTTGGCAGAAAATAAAGTAAATTAATTAATTAAATAAATCATAAAAATATTTTTTATTTAGAAAATAATTTCCTCTTCTTCAATAAATGAAAGTAATAATAAATTTAGTTATACTCCAAATAATTTGCCTACAAAAAAAGTAAAATTATTTGGGAAAGAATTACAACTTAAACAAATATTTTTGCAGCCTTTAAGGGAAGAAAATAACAAAAATAATTTTTTATTTGGATGTAAATTAATAGTTAAAAATAAAAGTTTAAATAAATAAATTATATTAAAAAATAATTTTTTAAATTTTCTAGTATGTGATTGTAAACATTCTAAAAATAATGATAATTGTTGCTGTGGACAGAGATTAAATTTTGAGGTAAATATTTTAAATAAAACAATAGATAATAATTAAATTTTAAATAAAAATTGAAGGAAAATAAAGAAAAAATAAATTTATCAAGTAAAGAAGTAAATGAGAAAATTCAAAATAATAATGGAGGATTTCAAATATTTAATTCAAAAAAGGCTTTAATTAATTACAAAAATCAAGATGGAAGGGTTCTATCAGCGCCTACAGAAAAAAGGCTTTCAAGACCTCCACAAGCAAAAAAGCCAACTTATCCCATAAATCCAATATCAGAAGAACCAAAAGAAGCAAAAACTAATTTGCCATTGCCTGAATGTTATTATGGTAATGATAGTAAGTTTTTTTGGATAATTATTTAATACATTTTAATTAAAAAAATAAGGGAATGGTTTATTATTAAATGATTTTCTTAACAAAAATTAAAAGACTATTCAGGGTGGCCCTTTTACCGCCTTTAGGGAGAATTTGCACTCTTTTAGACGTTTTCGACCCGTTTTTCCCCTTTTCTTCATTCCCACCTATTTGCCCTTTTTTGATGTTTTTTAAAAAAGGTACGATACTGAATTTTTTTCAATAATTCAGTATCATGTTTAATTCAAAGATTCTGTCAGATAAATTCTTTTCTATAAATTCATTACAAAAAAAGCTAAAATTGGAAGGATATTTAATGATTTAAAAATTTTTTTAATTGAAAAGACTTTATGTGCTGTAATGCTCAATTAGAAGAAAATATGAATGAGGCTTATGATAAGGCTTTTCGAGAAAATAATTCGTTAAATAAATGCAATATACAAAAAATAGCTAATTCAATACAGGTATTTAAAAATAAATAAATATTTATTTATTTAAATGAAAATTAAAGAAATCAGCAGAAAATACTTTTAATACAACATTCGAAATAATTGTTGGATTAAGTGATTATATTTCTAAAAGTCATTTTTTCCGAAATTATATTTGCAAAATTAAAAGGGATGAAAGGTGGGAATATATTTAAAAAAAATTTTTTATGAAGTTTTGTTTGATTTTTTGGACGAGTAATTTTAAAATTTATTATTTTTTTATTTGTTAAAGACTTTATGATAGGGTTTGTCACATCCAGTATTAACAGGTTATTTATCCAAAAAAACAACTGTTTTCGGTTAATTAGATCTAAAACTAGGAGATATTTATTTTAGATAGGGGATATAGTAGTAGCTTAGGCAGCATCCTGCACTTAGTGACCAAGCAAAATAAAAATTGTACATATTTTCAATAAATGTTTGTTTGGTATTAGATGTATTTACATAGATGCATGACTGTATTATAAATTTTAAAAAGTAAAATAATTAATTAATTATCCACAAAAAGATATATATTGGCATATGCAAGTCCTCGATGGGAATCGGAAAGAAATGTTGATTATTCAAAATCGCCTCAACAAAACGAATTAAGTTTAATAAACAATAATTCTCAATAACCTTCAACAATTTTTGTTTAAAATTTTTCCTTAAATTCGTTAATAAAATATTTATATTTTAATCAGAAATGTTAACGAAATGATGGGAAAATTAATTAGGTAATTATGTCGGACATATATAGAGTCTATTATAGTTTTAAAAATCAGAAACTGAATTATATGTGATTCAAAAAAATGACAATACTGAATAGAAACACGATAAATTTTTAATTCAGAAACTGGATTAATTAAAAAGAATTCTGTAATATCCCAGACATATAAATTGATGGATTGATTTGGAACTTGAGTTTCAGAAGAAAACTTGTGTAATTACATAATTGTTATGTCTAAAGTTTTTTTAAATTAAATTCTACAGATAGTATTATGAATTAAGGAGAACCACAAAAATTCCCGAAACCCAATCATTATTATATTTTGCATGTATGTATGTATTTAGTGCTGTCCACAAACAGTTAATAAATCGAGTTTCGGAATTAAGAAATCCCCAATTTTCTGAAATTATTTAATTTTTTTAACCAGATATGGACAACTTTAATAATAAAATCAAATTATTTTCGATTATCCATTTGTTGCAATAGTTGTTAATTGAATTGTTGTGCCACCAACTGACGTTGTGTTTGAAGTAGTATTTGTATTATTATTTGTTGCCACCGGTGTATTTGTTGTTGCTAAAAGAGTATTTTTATTTAAAGTTATTAAATTGTATTTTCTATAAAAAATGATGTATTCTATTTATTTTTTAAATTTACAATTAGTTCCGTTATTTGTTGGCATCTGCATTGTTGTATTTAGTGCACTAGCTGTTGTAGTCATACAATAATCACCGCTGTAGGAAAGATTGTCTAAAATTGCAAATCCTCCGCTTAATTGGCCATTTGCATATACAAAATTAGTTGCTTCTATTAAAAACTGAAAAAATAGCTTTAACTTTTTAATACACATAATTTGTCTTGGTGATCTTTGGTGATCAAAAAACTATGTCCAAAGTTTAAAATACACTTATATCCGCTTATATTTATAGTATTTAATATTTAAAAAATCGCTCAAAGCGGGTCGTAGTACAGCAATAAACTAATCTTTCCAATCCCTTATTTTTAAAATTAGAATAGTAAATTAATTAAATACTCTAAATGTTCTGTTGACAGGCGGAATTTGAAACACAGCAGGTCCGGGGCCTTGAGAGAATGGAGCTTGTTGACAATCACTTGTTCTGTTTAATGCTAGTTCTTCTTTTTTAGCACATAAATTTAAAATAACAAAAGGACTCGTCCAGTAACTTTAAATAAAAATTTTTTTTTTTATTTTTCAACAAAACTTGAATGAAATTGTTCCATTCCCAAGTTGGCAAGTTACTTTAGCGCTAATAAGTAATGCTTTTTGGGTCGTATTTTGGTTGTCTACATTCATTGTGGATACAATTGCATAACTTCCATCTAAATTTAATTTTTTATTAAAAATTTATTTAAGAATAAAAACAATATATGCAAGTATCTTGAAAGTTGATTTAAATTAATTTAAGGTAAATAATACATTTAATTACATTTTTGAGACAATAGAAACGTTAAATGACTAAAATCCTGAAAATAAGGTTTTATCAATCTATACAGTAAGTTTTTTAGGGCTAAAATACTCAAAACTTTTTTTATAAAAACCAAAATTACTAAAATTCCTATCTCGATGTGATCCATCATTGTCTATGTAAATTCTCAATTAAATATCTTTAATCAAAGTTATTTTTATCAATCAACAAATTTATTAAAAATTAATTAAATTTTTATTTTTACAAACTTGGAGGGCTATTTGTCCCTGTTATCATTTGTAACTGATTAGGATCTATAGGTGTTACACTTCTATACCATGTTAATGCTATTGTAGAATTATTTGATTGCGAAAAAGCACCATTAAGCCATTGACAATTGGCATCGAATTCAGTACAGTCCAATTTTTGGGCTTAAAAGTTAATTGCTCTTATTTAATTGACCATTTAAAGAATTTCTGTTTTTAATCTATTGGATAGTTAAGTTGTTGATCCAGGCTATAACTAAGGTGTTATTTTATAATATTAATTTTGTACCTCTAGTTTCGTGTATAAATAAATTCTTTAATCTATTTGTTCTATTATTTTTACTTGATTAGGTATTATTAGATTTAATTAAATTTTTTAGTTTCCTAGAAAAAGCCAACTTCGAAAATATTTATTTTATTTAGCTGTTGAAATCTTCGTTTATTTTACTAAAAAATCAACATTTTCAAGTTCAAATAAATCAAAAGGTATTTAAGTAATTTAAGCATTCGATCGGTTTTTACTAATTTTTCTTGTCTAATTAAAAATATTCCAAACATTATTCAATCATTTTCATAATTATTTTAAAATTCTAACTTACAAAATTTTCTTTGAATTAATAAAATTAAAATAATAATTTTAAATAAAAACATTTATTGATTTAAGGAAGTTTTATATATTTTAGAGATTTAGAAAATAAAATGATTTAGGGGATATTAAAACAATTAAAAAAATAAATGTATGAGAATTAAATGTTTATATTATAAAATTTTAAATCTGAGGATTAAAATTTATTTAATACATTGAGATGAGCAAAAATCATTAAAGGAAAAATATAAATTTCACAAAACTTATTTACATAGATTCTGAATTTTTTAGAATTTCTCAGACATTTATTAAAATTTAGTTTGCTACTGGATGAAGATGGACCCTCTGATATCGCTTTAAATTATAATATCCTAGCCGGTATCTCTTTGAATCACCCTTTAATCCCCAAATACATTGATACATTCCTCATAATCTTTCTATGTACAATTTAATTCTTTTTAATTATATTAGAACTGAGGTATAACGAAAATTTTGGGATATTATCGGCCAAAAATTACATGTATTATGCCAAAGAACATAAATCTCGGGGTCGCGTCTGGTAACACTAGAATTAATTATCAACATCTCTGTTAATTAGCCTAACTTTGAACTTAATATCATATCAAACCACATTTCCGGTTAATCATCCCTTATTTATACTCATCGCCTCATCCAAATAAGTTAGATATTTTAGCTGCTTGTGTTAATTTTTTATATTTTTTTAAATCTTTAGACAATGAGACTTCCAACCAAACTGTCTATCACAAATGATATGTCCATGAAATTATTTAATTTGCAATTTTTGTTTTTTTTTATTTTAATAAAAATAAATAAAAAAAAGCACAGGGAAAAAATAAATATGAAGGCACAAAAAATAATATAAATTATGTATGTACTATTATGTATTTTAATACAAATGTGAAAATTAGTTTGTAAATTTAAATAAGCATTGTTCAACGAATATAGGCCTTTCCATAATTAAACAATAATTTCCTCCTTCATAATTATTAAATATTTTTTCTTCAACCATTTTATAAAACATATTTTGTTGTAAATTATACTCAAATATTTTCCCAATAAATAATAAACATTTAGCATGTCTCATTGCTCCATCAAATCCCCCCAATAAATTTTGTAAATACTTCATTAATATTTGCCCATAACGTTCTGCTTCTAATTTTAATAAATTTCTGGAATTTTGACTGACATTTTCTGATATTGAATTACAAAATAAAATTGTTTTGAGTAAAACATATTCTGATTGTGTTATATTATATGTTTTAAATTCTGTTATTATGTCAGTAAATGCTCGTCTTCTCAAAACGTGATATCTACAAAAATTAGATTTTAAGATTAAATATGTATACCGTATATCCTTTAATAACTACCCTGGATAATTATTGTTTCGACCTTCCGCTGGAAGGAGTAATTAATCGAGGGAGGGTAATTATACAAGGTTTGAAATTTGAATGTGTTTTGGACATTTGTTCGGGGGTAATTATTGTTTCAATCTTGATGGCATAATCAATGGAAGTGGGGTAATAATTTGAGGGAAGGCAATTAATACAGGTTATACGGTAGTCGAATTTGTTCTGATAGTTCTGGCGATTATTCAATTAAATATACTAGATATGGTATAAGACAACCGGTTCTAGACCCAAACAATTAATTGGGGAAATTCCTTGGAAATTTAAAAAATTCACCTCTTCAAATCTTCTTCATTAAATATTCTTTCAAACAAATTTTTACAAAAATCGCCAGGACACAATCCATTTGGATATGTAACTGAAGATTCTCCCATTTGTACAGAGTGAAAACAATTGGAAAGTGTTACTAGACGATGGATATTTGAGCGGAAAAGACAAATCTGTAAAATTTTGAGTTTTTAAAAATTTTTAGAAAGAAAATTAATATAAGACGGACTCAACAATAGATTGGGCTAGACAAGAATTTTAGGTAAAATTTAAATAATTTCAAATAAAAATCTATCTCTACCTTATCCTCAAAGGGAATCTTATCAAAAATGGGCAATCTTTTCATAATTTCAATTTCCAACAGAAAATCCAAATTTTGGTAATTTCCAATAGTTGGAAGATTTCTTCCTTCTTTAAATAAATTTTCGTCTATAGTTAACTGTCTGCCATCCTTTAATAAATATTTTTAAAATTCAAAAAATTAATTTTCCTTACCATTCCAAAAAGTTCAATAAAATCCAATACATTCGTTCTACTTTCAATTAAAATTTCCAAATTTTTTGTAAATAAATATTCTAATAATAAATTATTTGGGGAAAGACGTAATTTTGAAGCGTTAGTTTCTGTTGATAACAGCAATTCCAAATCAACATTAATTTTTTCAATATTTGGCAATAATTGAGGTATATTTGGCATATTTACATTATTAATATTTTCAATAATATTCACATTTTTATTGCTAATAATCATTAAATTTTTCATATTTTGTTGTCCATTTAAAGGTTTTACAAAATTATTAGGCATTAATTCCCTTCTTTTCTTAGATAACCAATCCTTCATTTTTTTAAAATTAAAACTTGCAGGAAATTGAATTAAAGAAATATCCAAATTTTCTTTAATACAAGTATCAAGGCGACAAGAACGACACTTTTCTCCTTTAAAATTTAAAAAAAAACTAATAATTTTATTTATTTTTATTATTTTCTAAATATTTTTAAAAAAATAAAAAATTCTTTATAGAAAATTTTTTTTTAATTTTTTAATTATTTTTATAGAATCACCTTTTTGTGTTTGACATTTTCCTCCAGATTTACATTTAAACTCTTTTAGGCTCAAAACAGATCGACGGAAAAACATTCGGCAAGCTTGAAAAAAATTATAAAATTAATTAAATAATTTAAAGTCGTCTAGCTAGTTAAAACACAAAGTCTAGTCAGTCTTATTTAGTTAATTTGAACATTTTCTTGAAATCCCGAGTATAAAATTAAAAATTTTTAAAATACATTTTTAAGGTGTAATTCAAAGTCTATCAAAATTCCTAAAATTTAACTAATTTTATCTCAAATCAAATTACCATGGCAACATTTAACTCCAAAATTGTGACACCTAGCTTGTTGGCCACAAACCGCGCAGTCGGAAAAAAATGATTTTGGATTCCTTTTTTCACTCGAATTCTTTTTTATTTTTTCTTCCTGATTAGATTCTTGAATTAATTGGGAATTTGTGTTTAAATTTTCCGAATTATTGTGAAAGTTTGGGGAAGTATTGTTTGGTGGATATGAATGTACAAAGGAAGATAAGGAAGATAATGACATTTAGAGGAAAAATTTGGAATTAAATTTTAATCTTAAAAGATTAAATTAAATTTTAATATTTTATGGATAAATATTTATATTTAAATTTAAAATAAAAATGGAATATTATAAAATCAAAAAAGCTCATTATTTTATTAAATTATAAAGCTAAGCATACAAAAATCCAAAAAAAAAATTTTTAAAAAAAGGTTTTTAATTTTATGAGCTAAGAAATAATTTTATTAAAGCAAAATTAAAGAACGATTTATTTAAATATTTACAATAAATGAAATAAACCAAAAAATTTATTAACAAAAAGAAGCTCATTTTATGCAAATATTTACGTAATATTTGGCATAGAAGTTTGTAGTTTAAGCATAAATTGATAAAAATTAAAAAAATTGTTTATGTCAATTTGTGTATAAAGATATATTTTAAAATTAAAATTAATTTTTTGAAATAAATAGATGGAATAAAAGACATAAATAGAATTTAGAATTTATGCATCTTGATTTTGTATGATCAAAATGATCCCTGTTATGTCCTTGGGTGCGGTCTAGCCTTGTGACTAACAGAATAATATAAGAATACATAGAATAACAAGTTTATCCAACAAGTGAACAACTTGAATGTCCTAATGGACTAAAGGTAAACCGAGCCGTAGATTGAGTTGCAAGTTTTATTTGTAAAAGTTTTATTTAGTAAAATGACTTAGAAGATAATTTTAAATAAAAATTGAGAGGGTTATGTGGGGGGAAATATGAAGCATAGACAATAATTAAAAAAATTTATTCAATGCCCAGGATTCTTCATTAATAAAAAAAGAGAGGGAGAGGAAAGTATACATAGACGTTAAAAAATGAACTAAAATGATCTGATGTGTGAACTCGTTAAATAAAATGAACCATGAAATAATATTTGTTTTAGCTTTTGTTAAAATATTATATTAGTGCTTGGTTAAGTTGTTTAAAAAATGTATTTTTTTAATTTCAAAATTCTGGATTACAATTAAAAATTGCCAGGGAGGGGGACATAAAAACAAATTAATTATGGAATTATATGTTTATATTTTTGAAACCCACATATTTAGGACCTCATTAAAGACCTCTTTAAACCTCTTTAAAAAACTTCGACACCATATGTAGTAACGTAGGCAAAAGATTCCTCGTCGGAATATTAATATATCCATCTTTCAACTAGTTTGATATTTATTAAAAAAGCCTTCTTAATACAAGTAAAGAAAGAATTATGCTTTGAAAGACATTCAATATGTTATTCCAATAGGATTTTTAGGTAATTAAAAAAACTTTAAATAAATATTACAGCTATTACTTAAACAATAATTTTAAATAAAATGGAGAGAGGTTATGTGAGGGGAATGTGAAGCATTGACAATAATTAAATAAATTTATTCAATGCCCAGGATTCTTCATTAATAAAAAAAGAGAGGGAGAGAGAGAGAGGAAAGTATAGACGTAAAAATGTGAACTAAAATGATCTGATGTATGAACTCATTTAATAAAAAGAGCCACGAAATAATATTGTTATTAGCTTTTATTAAAATATTATGTTTGTGTTTGGCATAATGTTTGAATTTTTTAAAATGTTTTTAGAAAAATGTTTTTTAATTTTAATAGAAAAAGAAATAATTGTAGTTGTGCTCATGGTTTTTAAAAAGTGAAAAGAGAAAGAAAAGAGAGAGAAAATGAGCCAAAAATGGTCTTGATGTATAATCTATACAATAATAACAATCTTTAAAAAGTTAAATAAAATGATGCTATATTAATAAAAAGTTAGATAAAATGATGCTATGTATAAATATTAAATAAGATTTTTTAAAGAAAAATTACAATAAAAATTATAAAAATTTAAAAGATAAAGGTAAAATAAAAAATATTTTTATTTTCAAAATATAATTAAAAATATACATACAGGGTGCACCATAAGTAATTGGACACTTTTAAATTCCTTATAACTTTTTTTGTTGTCAATATTTTTAATCGATTTTATGCTTATTTTTTAGCTCATTCAATTCTCTATTATGGCTAATCAACGTGATTCTATAATTTCACTTTTTTTGAAAAAAAATTCAGTCCGCAAAATTTCACCTCTTTTGAATGTCCCAAAGAGCACTGTGCAATACACTTTCAAAAAATTCTGTTGAAAATTTTTTGGGAGAAATTTTTTTTGAAATTAATTTAGTAATGATGACACAACTAAGAACTTACAAAAAAGTGGAAGACCGAGTACCGTCAGCACTTCCAAGAATATTAAAATGATCAAAAACTAGGTGCATCGCAATTCTCGACCCTCCATGAGAAAATTGGCTCGTGAAACCGGAATAAGTGAGATGACCGTCAGACGAATAGCTAAAAATAAACTAGGGTTAATACCCTACAAAATCCAAAAAGCACAACTCTTAACAGAAAAAACCAAAAAAGTTAGGCTTGAAGGATGCAAACTGCTCCCCCATTGGCACGCATGTCCGGACATTCTCTTCACAGACGAAAAAATTTTTACAATAAAAGCCGTTCACAACCATCAAAATTATAGAATCTGGACTACAGAATCTCCTCTTTCCGATGAGCTTATCACTCATTCCCAACATCCCCAATCTGTCATGGTTTGGGCCCGTATTAGCACGTCAGGCAAAAAACCCCTTATTTTCGTGGATCCTGGGGTAAAAGTCAACAAAGACTATTACTTGCGAGAAATTTTTCAGCGTGTTCTGAAGCCTCGGTTTAAGAGCCATTTTGGTCGCATGGTCCGGATTTTCCAACAGGACTCTGCTCCGGCACACAAGGCGAAAGAAGTTCAAGACTGTTGCAAGGCCAATTTTCCTGGGTTCATTAGCGCTCAGGAATAGCCGCCATACTCCCCGGATTTGAATCCGATGGTTATTCTTTTTGGTCTATTTTGGAGTCCAGGGTCTGTGCTAAGCCTCAAAAAAGTTTGGAGTCTCGGCGACACTCTCTCACCCGAGAGTGGGACTTAATTACACTTAAAGAGGTGCGTGCTATTTGCGAAAATTTTTCTTCGCGCCTTCGCCTCTGTATCAAAGCCAAGGGTGGGCATTTCGAAACTTCTTGATTATTATTGTTCCATATTTAATTCTCTATCATTTGATTGTATTTCGATTTTATTTGATTGTGTTTTAATAAAGTTATGAGAGAAAACATGTGTCCAATTACTTATGGTGCACCCTGTACATATAATTCGTCATCAGCAAATGTTGAAAAATTTAAAATTTAAAATAAATAATCAGAAGATAATCGGTACTTTTCCGTTAAACGACCGCAAACTGAGTGCCAGCCGACTTTTAGTTGCTATAACTTTTTGATGCTTGATCCAATAAATGAATTTTATATCATTCAAAAGCCTCGATAAGCTGCATATTTTTTCTAATAGGATAACTCAAATCTGATCACTATCAAAAAATTATAACCCGATAAGTCCAGTCATTTGATGTTTTTCATATTTATCGAGTTATTAATTTTTAATGGATGATCACACTTGTCCAACAAGTTGGAAAAAAGATAACGCTTACCAAGGGCTTGCGTATGATATAAAATTTATTTATATTGGATCAAGCAGCAGAAAGTTATAGCCGATAAAAGTTTGCCGGCACTCAGTTTGCGGTCGTTTAACGGAAAAGTACCAGATATTCTCATTAGAGTTGTAAACTAATAAATTTCAATTTACGGATTTCAGGATCCGATGGTCTGGATGGGGGTATTGATAAAACCCGAATTTTTGAATTTTAATTTGGAAAAAAATGAGAAAAGAAAATAATTAATGTAAAAATAATTTTATTCTCGACAATAATTAAAAATTAAAAAAAAAAAGTATAATTTTGTATTCTTTAAAGATCTCGACCAAATTTATACAAGAAATAACTAAAATGATCCCGATGTATAATCTTTATAGGCGAACATAAAAAACGTCAACGATAAGGCTTTTGAGAGGAAGGGAAAGAAAGTAACAAAAGAAGGTAATAAAAGAAAAGAAAAAAAATAATTAAAATTTTAAAATTATTTTAAATATAAGGTGTATATGAGTCTTCCTTAAATAAATTATTAAATTATAAATAATTAAATAAAAGTAATTCTAAAATATTTTTCTTAAAAACCTAAATTATAGGTGAACAAAAGTATAAATAGAAATATAAGAGAAATCAGGGAAAAATGCCAGAGAATAAGAGAAGGAGAGAATAAGAGTGGAGACAAAATCACTCCAAATATGAAATCCCTTTCCTCCAAATTTTATTAGTGATTCGAAATTTTAAAATTTATTTTTCTATTGAAATTAAGAGAAATATTTTTTTAAAGATATTTTTTAAAAAATCCAAACATTAACCGGCAATAACATAAAATTTTAATAAAAACAAATAAAGCATTTATAAAAATAAAAAAAAACGAATAAAAATATTTATTTAAAATAAATATTATTTAAAGATTAATTTTATCGTCTATTTAGGTATATTTTTTGTTCGATGAAAAAATATTTTCAGAGAAAATTATAAATGTTGGCAAATATTTCTAAAAAAATTTTTTTGGTAAATTTTTATATGTATTTTGTGAATTAAATGTATTTTGTGCGGTTCCATTTTTTGTTTGTGCTTAAAAAATGTTTGTTTTGTGCAAAATGTTTGTTTGTCTGTTAAATATTTAACGCTAAAAATATTCACATGATATCAAAATGAACGTTTCATGAATTTTGGCATTTTTCAAAAATATTAGATTGTTTAGGTTATAAACAAACAAATTTTATTTTATTTTAGGATCCAATTGAAAAAAGTGCATCTGATTTTCTAAAAATAAATAATGAAAACACAAAAAATAAAATTGTGTGAAACTTTCTTTCTTAATACTAGGAATGAAAAATTTTCTTTGATTTTTTAAACAATTAAAATGTACTCACTACCACAAAAGTTTCTACTTTTTAGCTTAAAATGCCTTAATTTACAGCAATTAGTTTCTTTTAATAAACAAATCTTCAGTTTCTTAATTTAATTAATTGGCACAAATAAAATTGGTAATTTTGAAGTGGTTTTTCAATTTTCAGCTGTTTGTATCTCGGTCGAATCAAGTCGGATTTACAGCCCGATGTGTTCTACATTTTTTATAGACTGACCATTTTTAATGCCTTGAGAAGGAAAAAAGCGAGGATTGGGAGGAGGTACTTCAAAATTACCATAAAATTTAATAAACTCGAAATATTTAGCAAATACTCATTAATCTCTTAATTTGATTCTAAAATTTACTAATTTTTTTAAGCAATTCATATAAATTGATTGTTCGTGAATATCAAAATTTATTAAGTTAATTCTAATTTTTGTAAAAAAATTTTTAGTTGAAGATATTTTTATATAAATTTTTGAAATTAATTGTCCTCTAGTTATCCAAATAACTAAAGGCTAAATTATTATGTATTGAACAAATTAAAAAGAAATATTTCAATGGCACCAACTAAGTACACACAATTTATTCCATTTCCTTTAAATATTAAATCTTAATTTTTTATTAAAAATACATTACAATTTTTAAATCAGTAAATATCTTGATTATTTAAATAATAATTTTACTGCTTTTTTTTCTATTTATTTTTGTTTTATCCCCAAGGGTTGTTTTTTTTATTTATTTGAATCCCTCCCTCACATACAAAAAATAAATAAATATATTTTTAACATTTCTTCTACCAACACATTTCCAGTCAACCAACTCTAATGAACTCCCCATTTTTGCATTTTATTTAAAAATATTAAAGAACTAAACAGTCAAAACTAACAGCTTTTTTTAAGCCTTTTAAGTGAATAAAAATGTAGATTTTATTTAAAAAAAGAGAAAAAAATGGAGGGAAAAATTGCATTTTCCGATTACTTTATTTCCTTATAATTTTCTTCAAAAAATTTTATGAGATAATAATGAGAAACAGTTTGTGTTCTTTCAAATGGTCAGAGAATAAAAAAAATAAATAAGAATTATTATAGATAATTATGGATAATTTCTTGTTTTCCTTATTAATTAATGGGAGTTGAAATATCAAGCCTTTTCTTTGGGCTCAGGAAAATGTTGAAGAATAACTCAAGGACAATCATCTTTTTTTAGTAAATAAAATAACCAAAAAAATTTATTCCAAAATCTACCAGTCCCTTTAATTTTACAATTAGCCAAATGTATGTACTTTTAAAAAATAGAAGATAATTTTAAATATTAAATTTTCAATAATTGGCACATTCACATATTTTAGTAACCAATAATTTTCTAACTATTTATTTTCTAAAAAATATAAGAATTTTCTTTAAATATTTTTATTCAAATCTTTTTTACTAAAATGTACTTATTTTTAGCTTTCACAAAATTAAAAAAAACAAATTCTCCAAATCAATTTAGAAACGAATCCTTTTGGGATTAAATGTCACAATTTATTAATTGGGATCCATTAGCTTTTTATCCATATTTTTCCCTCAACAAATAGGCTTCCCCTTCATAAATAAACTAAATACCTCTCTCTCATTTTTCCACTTTTTTTTGCACGCAAACATTTAAATAATTTTTTAAAATTTAATCAATTATAATTATTTACTATTAAATAATTTATTTATTTAGTAATATTTGAGGGAAAATGAAAATATTAATAAATTTTTTAATAAAAAGTGTTAAATGTTTAATTCAACAAAATGTTTTGTTTAAGAAATGAATTTCAGGTTGCTTCTAATTTTTAATTTCTAAGAAATTTTTTTAAAATGCACCCCTTTAAAAGCTACTAATAAAATTTAGAAGCTACTAGTAAATATTCAAATTATTTAGTTTTTTAAATAAAAAACAACTAGGTAATATCCTTTAGCTAAACAAAATTTTAGTTAATATTATACACATTATTCAACCTAAAATCAGAAGTCGGTCGGAATTCCGATTTTCTACATTTCCCCAACACTTTTGTTATTTCCAACAGACCTCTGCCTTAAACTATAATAAATTTCTCATTAAAACAAAATTTTATTTTAAACTTTAATCCATGCAATTAGTTCAAAAAATCTTTGTTTTTCCTCCAAAAAATAATTTTATCATTTAGTTTAAGTCGGAGATTTATCATTGCTTTAACCAATCAATGCTTGTCTTTCTAAAAAATTCTACAAATTTTGGCAACAATAAATTAAAAGAAATCCATGCAATTAGTCCAAATAGACGGAGATGCCGATTTAACTATTCACAATATTTCTATACTCCCTTCAGATCAGTGTGCAACAGAAGAACAAAGAGTTTTATTTGATTATTTGGAGATAATTTTAATTTATTTTCAGGTTGCAAAGTGTTGCTGTGGGACTGGTCTGTTGTTATAATTATTTTATTAGAATTGGTCTAAGATTCTGTAGATTATTAGAAAATTTTGATGAAAATTCTGGTTCCTTGCCATAATTACATACATAATATAATTTTGTTTCTCATAACAAAAAAAAAATAAAAATTATTTTTCAAAAGAAACTTTAATTCCCTTTTTTAAGGATTCTTCTACGATTTTCCTACAGGAAAGTGCCTTGTTTCGGTAATCATCAAAATAATTCAAAAAAATTATATTAAATTGTTTCAGGCAAATGTAGGTTTTATGTTTGGACGTTTAAACAATGGATGGACACACGTAGCTATTTATGGGTTAATAAAAAAAATTTTTTTTTAAATTTATTTAAAATTTTTTAGTTTTGTTTATCCAATGCTTGTCCTTGTAATGATTGCACCTTTGAGTGCCGTGTGGGTATTTAATTCTTAAAAAACAACAGGGAGAGAGACAGTCGGATTTCATAATAAAATACCTAACCGAAATTTAAGATATACATATTTTTAAAAATTGGTGGTGTCTACCTAAAGCCGTTGAGTGGGAGTCCACCAAAGCGACCTCCCAATGATGGATATACCCATCAAATTTACAATCTTTTAGCCTTAGGGTGTACCCGTAAGTGAGAGTACCTTAGTAATTTTAAAATGTTATTTACTATAATTAATACGTTTATATTTAAAAAATTATTTTCAGCATGCTTGGAATGAGTAAACGTGAAAAACGTGAGGGAGAATCTAGATATGTTAGTGTATATTTAAATAAAGTATTAACTGTAATATATTTTCAGCCAAATCCTTTATATCAATTAATTTCACTTTTATGCTTTTGTGCCTGGATGTCACTTTTGGCACCACTTCCATTTAGCGTAAAATTAAAAATTTTTAAAAATACTCCTTTAGAAATAAAATTTAATTCTGAAATTTTCATGGATTTTGAGAAAGAAATATATTTTTATTAAATTATTGAAGACAATGATACCTCTATATTTTTCAATAAAATTTTCAGTGTTGGTACTATGTTCTAGGTGACGGTCTTAGACATATGAATCAAAGTGTAGCAATGTGCCATTTATTTAGAAATACAATGGAAGTAATTAAAATAATTATAAATATTCAAAATAAATTTTTAAATAAAATAAAGGTTATTCCACACACAACAGATACTTTAATTACACTTTGCTCTGTAATCCTTGCTGGAGCTAGATTTTTAACTCAATATCATCGAAACACTTTAAAATTGAGAACTGTTAGTTTATTAATTTTTTAAAAGGAAGGAAATACATATTGTTTTTGAGTGTACAATTCTATTTTGAATGAAAATTGAGAGTATAGAAATTTGTTGGGAAATTTTGATAGAATTGAATTTACCTTGAAAAAGTAACTGAAATTAAAAAGAAAATAAAATTAAATAATAAAATTAAAAAAAATCTTCTATTTAACTTAATATTTTTTAAAAAAAGGTTGAACGTTTTTCTCGTGCCATTTTGTTTGTTATTTTGTTGAGTGTTATTCTAGGAGGACTACGTTTCTTTGAACACGATGTTGCACTTTACTCTCTTTGCATGGGTAAATTAAAAAATATTTTTTAAAATAACTAATTTAGGTGAAAAAATATTAAAAAAATAATTTTAGATACAGAACCTGGACCATATTGGGCACGTAGATGCATGGGTATTTAATTAATTTAAGTTTATATATACGAAATATATTTTTACAGTTACGGATGGATCATTAGTTTCATTTTTACGATTAGGGCGAGCATTTTGGAAGGTCATTCTCTTAAATTATATAATTTAAAAATTAATTCTCTTAATAAAGGAGTCATTCAAAATCTGCTCAAAATTTCGAGTCAGAAAAGTCAAGATTCATATTTTAACTCAAATTTTGACTCGGCTATGATTTTTGAGAAAATATTCGGATATCCAGATATATCTAGTTAGATATCCACTTTATTAAAAAATTTTTTAAGAAATATGATTTAAAAATCAAAGATAAAACTATGTAATATTCTAGTCTTGGAAAATCCTTTTTTTATAGTTTATAGGTATTTTATAAAAATAATAGTTTATATTTAAAGATTTTTCTGCCATTAGCTGATCTTTTTGCTCAATTTATTTTACCTGGAGCTGCTCTCATTCTTATTCATATTGGGTTTATAAAATTTGTAAAAATTATTTAACAATATTTTTCAGTTTCAATAGAGAAAGGGTTATAGACTGTCAGCCAGATGAACAGTAAATTAATTTAATTTACATATGTATAACTAAAATAATTTTCTAATTTTTCTAGTAATCGATTTGGGCGTTCCTTACGTGATCAGGTGAATAATAAATAATTTTGTTTTTTCCCAAACCGCATACTAACCGTTAATCCTGGTCAACATTTTTCAGTTAAAGGAAGGATGTGGGGACGGTGGGGAAGGGAAGGGGAATATTTTAAAATAATTCATTCTTTTCCAAATTATTTTTTAAATTAACAAAAATCTGATGTGAATTTATATTTAAATCTTTAGACAAAAATACTTATATATGCCGTTACAATAGCATTTCTTGTTGTTCAATTACCTACAAGTGCTGTTACTATGTTAAGGTTTTATACAAAAATAATTTTTCCTTATTTTTAATTTAAATTTAAAGCCTTACTGTTACACATTTTGGGACAAACAAATTTTGTAATTTTAAATTAAAAATTAATTATTTAAATTTTTATAAAGTAACACTTCTTGCTATTTTATTTGGTCATTTACAACCTTTATTTTCTGCTGCCACTGTAAGTCCTGAAATTTGGCCAAAAATTATTTTAAAGAAATTAAGAAGCGTTAAAGCGTTATTGAAACCTTAATAAATAGAATGTGTATAGAATTTAAATTTTATTTGATCTTAAGAATGTTTTTAGGGAAATTTGTTTTCTCTAGTTATATTCACCTAGAATTGGAACACACTATAAGATAAACCTTTGAGGCTGTAAAAATTTTTTAAAGTGAGAGTAACTATTATTGGAAGTATAACAAAGGCTGTCCCCTCCCCAATTTAATAGCCAAACAGATTTAACCCGGTATAGGGTATATTTTTGATCGAATCTTAATTCTATTCAATTAAATTTATATATATTTTAGATAATTGCCAATTGTGGCTGTGTTCTTACAGCTTATTATGTTATTGTTAAAGATGACGATTTAGATATAGATCATGATCGTTCGGAGTCTTCTGTAGATTTGGTTGTTAATGAACATTTACTTAGGTATAAGAAAAACAATTGATAATTTAAGTATTTATTTAGTGAACAAAGACAACCACGTAGACCCAGTGCTTACAGGCAAGTTAAATAAAAATATCGAAAATTTTTATTTAATTTCTGATGATTTTCCATTTTATTCAAAAAATTAAATTTTAAAATTAACAAAATTATTAATTATAATTTTCCTTCAGAAATTACCTCTCTACTTCATTCTCATTTGACAATGCTTCAATGTATAGTTCAAGAAGGGGAAGGTAATTAATATAATAATTATTTTTTATTAAATATATTTTTTAGTGAATATCCAGAACAAATGATATTTATAAATGCCCCTTCCTCTCATTCACCAATTCCACATCAGAGTCGCTCAAATACACCTAGAGAGTTGCAGTCAACTACTGCATGCTCAGATAAATAATTTAATTGTTTTGAAATTATTTTATATTTTTTGATTCATAAATTTAAAAAATAAATATTTTTCTTAAATAAAGTCAACAATAATTCACAAAAGAAAAAATAAACACAATCCCCAAAATTCGGCACTAGGTCCTCAATATGTAAATTCAATTTTTTCCTAGTCCTGAACAATATTTTGCAAATTCGTATATGTCATGCTCTAGTTATAATCTTAATTTTTTAATTACGCAAATAGACAACAACAAACAGAGGTGTTTTTACTTATTTAAAGCCTGAAATCATTCTCTAGTAGATAATTAGAGTAAAATAAGCATGTCTGTAATTTCGGCAGCGTGCGATTTAGGCAGCTAAATATGGGCAATGGATGATTTGGACAGTAAACGTTTCAAAAAGGTTTATTTCACGAAAAAACAATTTGAGTAAAAATACAAAAATAATTATGAATGATTTGGGCATAAATAAATTTATTGTGGATTTACTTGTGAACGATTAAAAATAGCATTTCGATATGGAGTGTTTGTTAAAATACAAATAATTGGGTTAAATAAAGGTGTTAAATGAAATAAAAAGTGAAATAATATTCGAATAATATTTGTTGTATTGTTGCTTGTTTTTGTATAAATTATAAAAAATAAAATTCCCGCTTGATTAACAAAGGGTACAAAAGCCTAAAAATTAAAAGAATAAATATTTCTAAGAAAGAACATAATCTTTCACAAAATATTTTTTGAAAGTATTAATAAAACAGAAAATTTCGGCTCCATGACTTTTCGGCAATGGACCCTTCGACAAGACTCTTCGACAATGAACCTTTCGACAACAGATCTTTCGACAATGGACTTTTCGACAATAAATTAAAATTTTTTAAAATGATTTAAAAATGACAAATATTGCTATTTTATCCAGCTAAATGATATGGGGAACTAAACTAATGAGTACCGCCGTTTATTTTTAGGATTTGAGGGACTGATTGGATATACACTCTGTTCCAAAAGTATATGCCCACCTATATTTTTAACTTTATCTATGTGATTTCGCTATAGATTTTTCTTAAATTTTTTACGATTAAAAACCATTACATTTAGAAACAAAATACAAAAAAATTCAGAAATATATGTTTTTCATTTTGGTATAGAGATCAAAATCTAAATATTGAGTGTTCCAAAAGTATATGCCCACCCTTGTTTTATAACTTCTTAAAGGCGGGAAAAAGCTACAAAAAATTTTTGTGAACATATCTATCAATAAAGATAAGAAATACAAAAGAAATGAAGTTGTGATGTACTCCCAACATCAAGATCTTGAAATTCGAAAATCAACGGAAAACTGGTAGTAGACGTCTTTAAAACATATTTTCGACCCCTTACAGGTAAAATAAAAATTTTATTTTCGGCTCATTTGAGAGCCCTTGAAATTTGCTACAAGATAGCATTAATTTTATTTTTCGAAAAAATTCACCTGTAAGAGATATTTCTATTACCGGTAAGTTTATCACATTATTTCTCAAAGAGGAATTTTTTCTGGATTATGAGATAAATGCTATCTTGTTGCAAATTTCAAGGGCTCTCAAATGAGCCGAAAATAAAATTTTTATTTTACCTGTAAGGGGTCGAAAATATGTTTTAAAGACGTCTACCCCTGGTTTTACGTTGATTTTTGGGTTTCAAGATCTCGATGATGGGAGTACATCAGAACTTCATTTCTTTTATATTTCTTATCTATATTGGTAGATATGTTAACAAAAATTTTTGTGGATTTTTCATACTATTAAAAACCTATAAAACAAAGGTGGGCATATACTTTTGGAACACTCAATATTTACATTTTGATCTTTTTACAATAAGTAAAAGCATATATTTTAGAATTTTTTTGTATTTTGTTTCCAAATGTCATGGTATTTAATCATAAAAAATTTAGAAAAAATCTATAGCGATATCACATGGATAAAGCTGAAAATATAGGTGGGCATATACTTTTGGAACAGAGTGTAGGTAGTGACCGAGGCCGGACCGGACTCCGGCCGGATTTTTCCGAGTTTGGGATTTGAGGATCAAATCCCTCACCGGATTTAGGATTTGATCCTGTTCTTCTATTTTCCTAATTTTCTTGTATTTTTTTAGATTAAAGGAGGATTTCTAGCCCATGTCTATACTGAAATTCAAAAAATTTTCGCCTGCAGCGCATAAATCCTAAAAATAAACGGCGGTATTCAATCAAACGGCAGTACTCAATCGGCGGTACTCATTAGTTTCGTTCCCCATTTCATTTAGCTGGATAAAATAGCAATATTTGTCATTTTTAAATCATTTCAAAAAATTTTAATTTATTGTCGAAAAGTCCATTGTCGAAACGTCGTGCCACCGAAAATTTCTATGAGAAATGTTTTAAAAGTCTTACCAAAATAAGCAAAACTTTTGTTAAAAGTTTATTCAATCTTTTTAAATTTCCATCAAGATTAGTGTTTAAATCGACATATCTAACCATTTTGAATCCACAAATAAATATTATTACATATGCAAATATTTCAATTAATGTTAGAGGTAATAGTGTTAGAATATTCAACTATTTTTGTTTTAAATTTAGAAAATTAAATTAATTTAAAAATAACCGTTTCCATTTCATATTGAGTAAATGGCCATGTTTCGTTAAAATTATCAAAATATTTAATACCTCCATTTGAATATGGCATTACAAAGAAAATAAAATCCAAAGAATAAAATGTTTGCACAAATAAAGCAATGGACACCATAAATAAATAACGACGAAAAGTAATTTTTATATTCCTAAGAATACATATTTTTAAGTTAAAAAAGAATATGTAAAAAATATTTTCGTGTATTTATTTAATAACTATTTTAATATATGTATTTACCTATTCAAAACTAAATATCTATAGATAAATTGAACACATAATCCATGTAAATTGAAATAAAAAATAAATTGATAAACAAAAAAAATAAGATAAGAGATAAACGGATTAAAATTTTCTTTCATAAAACAAAGCAAGACTCCATTAGGAAAAATTATAATTGTATTTCCTTCTGTATCAGTTATATAAAACTATAAATAATTTTAAAAGTGATATTAATTCTGTTGTTTATTTTAAATTGTCTAGTTAAATACATATTATACCTATGTTTTTTAGAATTTAAATTACCGTATTTCCTAAAATAGTACTCCCCCCTGAATTAGTACTCCCTCCTTAAATAATACTCCCCTTTGGAGGAGGGTTGAAAAATAGTACTCCCCCCTTAAATAGTACTCCCTCTAAAATAGTACTCCCCCCTAAAATATTTTTCCCCTATATTTGAAAAAAATTATAAAAGAAACATTGAATTATTCTATTGAAATTTACTTATTGAATTATTTTATTTATTCTGATTAGGGTTGTCGGTTTCACTTAATTCTTCGATAACCGAAACCGGACAGCTTTCGCTTACCGAAAACGAACTGAAATTTTAACCTATAATATGTTCTGGATTGATCAAGTGGGGTCTAAAAGTTCCAATTCCCCTAGTTCATCTCTAACTAGATCAAGTAGTATGGTTTGATAAAGGAATTTGAGAGAAAAATGAAGGATGAGTGTTCGGGACGCACTCATTCCCGAGCGTTCGGGACGAAACCCTACTTGTTATCACGCCTAAATATGGATATCCTAGAATTCGTAAGGATATTCGAAGAAAAAGAGATGTGGAGGATATCGGTGATTAATGCTGATAAATCCCTGGACACAGCGATTAGGTACATCAATTTCTCAGTGACATTGAATAATATCGGCGGATATATGCGGATTCGTAAGATTATGAGTTTGAAAAGATTAAGGGGGATATCAGTGTTTTTGAAGGATATCTAGGGAATTTGACACATACAAGTGTATTAACTGGTCGGGAGTTCAAGATGGATATAGTGGTAAATTTAGATATCTACCCTTAATCGATTAAATCCCCTTATACTCCTCAATATCACTCCAAATTAACTAATATCCTTCTTGATTTTCCTCAATACCCCTTATTTTATGTCACTTGTGTTTAAATGTCCCGAAATTAGCTCAATTTTATAATAATTTGGATATTTTTTGAGAGCTTTTAATAATTAAATTTTTTGAAAATCCGGGTCGGATCAGGCATTTTTCAGATAACGAACTCAAATTGATTTAGAAGTTTGAAATAAATTTTCTTATGATAAATCAAAAAAAGGGTTGAAAAATAGTACTCCCCCCTGAATTAGTACTCCTCCCTTAAATAGTACTCCCCTTTGGAGGAGGGTTGAAAAATAGTACTCCCGGGAGTACTATTTTAGGAAATACGGTAATTCTGGTATTAGAAAGCGATTTTAAATTACTAATTTTCTACTATGATAAGAGTTTATTAAAACTTTAGCCCCAGACAGCATTTGATTTGAGTGCTCGCGCCTCGATTAAACCATGCAAACGCTCTATAACTAATGTTTTCTCTTTCCTCTTTATAGATCATTTAATCACAGCCTAAGTGTTTGAAATGCTGGTAGGTAATCCTTACACTATTATCCTTAAAATTCTGATTTTCACTTAAAAATATTTTGGGATTATACTTATTTTTAAAAATTATACTTATTCTCTTTAAATTATGATTTTTTAAAATTTATGACTTTTATTATTTGATTAACTTTCCGGTTTATTAATTACCGCTTGAAGAAGCATTTGAACAGTCAACTGTAAAATATCCAAAACACAATTTTGTATCAGAATTCGACTGTGTATTTTCATTTCTTTTGGCGTTTTAAAAATAATTAAAATAATCAGAAGAATATTTAAAGGAAACCCAATTAATATACAAACAAAATAATCAAATTTAAATAAAATGTCGAGTAAAACGGAAGACATTGTCTTAGTTAGAAGTTTTTTTGTAGAGAATTTTTGGCGAAATTTTTAAATAATTATTTAAATGAGGACTCTCTATTTCAAAATTTTCACCTGTAATTTAAAAGATAAATAAAAATATTTTTTAAAACAAAGATATTATT